TAGTGCAAAGTGAAACTATGAAGCTGAATGGGAGCAGTCTTACAATGTGCAGACCTAGAAGATGGAGAGACACAAGCAGACCTACAAACACGGTCACTAACTGGAAAGGTAAGGCTAATCACAGAAATTAACAGAGGCAGATGAAATCTGCAGCAATGAACCCCCATAGCTCAAAATCCTGAAAAGGGAGAAAAAGAAGTAGAAGAAGAAGAAGAAGAGGGGAAAAGAGAATCATTATGCAATAAAGCAGGGCTATTTAAAAAGTTCACTTACAGGCCAAGATGAGAATCGTCATGATTTCGAGCTCCAGCATAGAAAGATTATTAAATAAAATACAACTGCAATGATTCGTGGGCCATTTACAAAGTCTCTGGGCTGCCAGCCTGCTACAAAGCTTTAAACAGCTTACTTCTTTGAACCTCTCTGATGTGTCTCTACCATGAATTGATAGAGGGACTTCGGGGTTCCAGGCAACCCAAGACTGCTCATGCGGTAGTCAGGCACTGATAGGCTCTCCTATGTCAGACAGCTCAAGGAAAGGAGCCCAAAAAAGCAAGAGCGAAACCGTGCCACTTCACACATAGACTGGGAACAAGGGATAGGGAAATCAGATCAGAAGAAAACGCTTATTGAAATTGGATGCGCTGAGATGCGGGCTTGACAAAACACTAAGTAAAGGACTTTTTACAATAGTGGTAAACCGGCCATTTGACTCTAAACTCATATTTCTATAGACCCATCAGCAGTCAGGGAGTGATGTGGTCACCATCAAACCACCTGCTTTTATTTCCCAGGTCATGACCTAATTTAGGCTGGGTCAACCTGGCAGCCTAAGTTCACTTTTGATTAAAAGAAAGTCAGCCTTGACGCAAATTTCCACAAAACAGTCAAAGTAAATCATCCAGCCATTAAATATTGAGACTGATTTCATTATGGTCAAGACAAAAACGCCATCCATGAAACAAATCATGTCATCCAAGCAGGCACCATTCATCTATGACTTGGCCAAACTGCAATGCTGCCTGGTCAGCAGAGGACAAGATACCACTAACATTTTACTGATCAAATCTCGGTTAACATCAAATTCACCTGCCATCATCCTCAAGGTCAGACAAGAATCTTCATGTACCCATTCTCTGACTTTGGCAATGAGTTTAGATCTATAACTGCTTGTTTGGATGAGGTGCTTTGCTTCAAGGATTGCATTTTTGTCTTAGCCTCAGTATTATCAACCTCATCAATTAATTGCTTCATTGTGACTTAGTGGGGCTGCTAAACAATTAAGCTGTTCTGTTGCTGACAATGAGAAACAATAATATACGTATCAATAAAACCAAAAATAATTTGTTCAAATATGTACACTTTTATTTTACAATATCTTAATTGTAATTTTTCAAGCAAATTAAAAATGATCTGACAAAGAAATATGGTGGGAAGATAATCATCCAGCCTTGTAGATTTATGGTGGAGTAAGATATCTGAAAAAATTAATGAATACTTGCCTTTATGCTGAATAACCCAAAATGACACATGAAGGAGACGGTGTGACACATACAGCAACCAATCAGTGAATAGCAATATTCTTGAAAGATGTAGACTTGAAATTTCAGTGAAAAGTTGCAGAAAGGTCAATGTTTGAAGATTATGCAAGATTTGTGTCAGCATTATTATAATTTACTAACGGTAAACATTGAAGACTAGTTCCCAGAATACCTGTAAAGTGACACTAGGGCCTGTTACTCTGACCTATGGGCTACATTTCACTCAAATTCCTAAAGATAGTGCAATGTAATGTTGTGTCTACATGTTGAAAAACATAGATACAGATTAAGCATATGGAGTTGAAACTGTGTTGTACCATGGAAAATATCTGAACAATTCACATACACACTAAAAATGAAACTAATAAAACTGAATATTTGCTGTATGCTGGACTATTTTCTCTTGCTTTAGGCCTTACATTGTTGGTGCAAATATATGCTCCCAGGTTGACCCAGTCGTGAGTACCGCCACTTAAAAAAAAGGGGGAAGTCTCCCGTCAGTCGACTCCTAGGACATGCTTGTTGGAAAGGCAATGGGTTTATTCTTGCTTTTCCTATAATGGGGTCCTGGAACTCACAAGGGAAAATGATATCAGACCCCTTGAAATTGTTCCGAGGATACCTAGGGGTCAGAGATCACCAACTGGGAGCCACTGATCTACAAAACTTATGTGTTAACCAGAAGAAACATCATATATTTAGTATGCGCAAAATCTATTGGAAATATACAATGGGTATAAATGTTCAAGAAACAAAACACATAATAAGCAGTAGGATTCGCATAATGAAATAGCATCTGACATAATCATGAGTGTTCAACTAAGAAACAGTTATTCTATCTTCTTCTTCTACCAATGAAGCACAGTACCTCAACCATCATCATGATGAAAGAAATTGGGTCCCTTGCCAGATCTCCCACCTTGTATTCACTCAAGGTGTCATATCCTGTGACCATCTTCATGCTGGGCTGCCCATTCCTTTTTCCTAGCACCATGCCTTCTGCTATTATTCTTTCTTAACCTCAATCAGCTCTTGTCAAAACATCCAGTCTTTAGCAATCTCCTGCAGGTCATACGATGAAACTGCTATCTCTTTCTCTGAAACAGAGTTGGAGAGTGCGGCCTTGTATCATATTTGCAAAAATGTACGGTCTGGCCCCCTGAATGTTGAATAAAGAATCGACATCACAGCACTCGGGACACTCCCATAAGCGCTCGGTCCCTATCTTCAGCAGCAAGCGAAGAGTTGAAATTCCTATGGTACCAGTAACAGTCTGATTGTATATCCGTCTCGCCCCTACATGAGTGTCGACCAGATCCCCTTGTAACTCCTTGCAGTGCCATTCTCCTCAGACCGTAATGATCTATCTGTTCTTCAGCACTATTCACTCGCTCCCAAAGGGCCCTCACAACATCCAGCTTGTCATATATCAGTTCACCACCAAGTGGTGCAGAACCGGCCAGTCTAACCGCCTGCTCATTTCCCAATACACCGGTGTGACCTGGAGAAAATATCCAAAGGATACTAACTAACCAGGACCTCTGAAGTGATGCTTGCCACTCTGCACGGAGCATGCCTATCTCCACCTTTCAGCATGCTCTGTGAGTCAGTTACAATGACGACATGTGTGCACAGCTGATTCTCAAGCCAAAGGAAGGCAGCAGTGACTGCTTCCACCTCCATTCTCAAACTAGACGTTGTGATATCAAATGACAAGCTTTTTTGCGCCAAGCGACGTTTATTCGCCTTCGCAATGAACCCCCATGCACTTTGTCTGCCCCTCACCACAGAGCCATCTCTATATACAATCACATCACTTGGGCAGGAATGGTCATGAATCATTTGTTGAACTTCTGATTCTGCAGCACCAGCTGGCCAGTTTCTGCACTCACGTCCCAAAGTGATTAGAACCCTACACAAGTCTGAAACATGATCGGACACTTTGACCCACTCGTCTCCTTGCCTAAATTTATCAAGCCTGCACACATGTCCAATTGTGTCTTCAGCTTGCATCATCCAAGACTTTCCTCTTTTCAGTCTGTGACCCTTAGCTCTAAACAGGGCTCCATGCAGGAGGTGCCTCTTGTCCACAGCTACTCTGAGATATGACTTTGCTTGCAGAACTTTGAGCCTATCTGCAATAGTAGGCAGTGCAAGTATATATCGCATACATACTACCAGGGTATCTCTTGTACATCCAAGAATCACCCGCATGGCTCTATGAAAGCAATCACAACTGATCACAATGTAGAAGGCTAAATCTGTATGATAATAATTGTGTGTGGTCTATAAAGGATTTTTATAAATATCCAAACAGACCTCGGTACCAAAGCTTCCCCATCCCTGCTCTAAAATTCTTCTTTCTATGTTTCAGGTCATTCTAATTATATGGTTTTATAGTGTTATCAGGTTATTTCAATGTTTATTATCATCCACCATCTTTTCTTCAGCTCTTGAGTTATAAAAACATGTTCAATTCTCTCCCAAACCTCAACATTAGTGATTCTGTCATTTAAGTTAATTCTGTCTATTCTGCATAGGTAGCAGAAGAGTAATATTTGTAGTTTATTCATTTTTTTTGCTTGCAATAAAAAATATATAATACAGGTTGACTCTGAAAGATTCTGCCATTCTGAAAGTTTATGGAAACTACAGATATCCAAAAATGTTTGGCCTGCACCAAACTCTAAGTATTAAAGCCTGGACAAATTGTAGAGCAAGTAAAGCAAATTAAGAAACAAAAGTGGCCAGGACACAGTTGGTAAGCCTAGTTCAACATGAATTTATAAAACAATTGAAAACTGATCATCATGTAACATAGTGGCATACACAAAGAAACAGTAAAATAAGAAATCAAGCCTGGACAGACTTTTGCTGTAGCTGGTCAAACAGGATATTTAATTTTGTCTGGGATCCAGGGCATCATTTGGGGAGTGTGAGGAAAAATAAGACCAGAGCTCTTTACCCTTTTGCTACGTTGACCTAGAAACAACAAAGCCAATCATTTGTATTTCATAGAGGGGAAAAGGGGTGCGGGGGAGAGGGGGGAAATTTGATTCAACCTGGAATGATGGTTGTGGTTTCTTAAAGCGACTGGCTTAACAACGAGCATGTCAGACATTGGCAACTAATTAGGGGTTTGTTGAAACTGGATAAGTTGTGTCAAAAAGCACCGATAAAGCAGTGCAGCTGTTAACTACAAAACAACGTGCTAACCTCCCTTTTAAGGATAAACACATAATAAGAAATATAAAGCGGAAAAGGATGTGTTCAAGAGTCTAACAGCATCCAATAACGTTATATTTTCTGCTAAACTACTGGTTTTATTTTTTGAATAGCCTGTATATTATTATCATAAACATTCAATTTTTGTGTACTGCTTTAAAGATCAAATTATGTACTTCTTTTGTAGAGAACATGCAAATACAAGTTTTGTATATGAATCATGCCCTCTTGGGGTTAATCAACTTGTTCATACACCTCTTCACTATCGCCATCCTTCTTCTCAGCCTTTTCATCTGCACCTGTTTTTTCATTCTTCTCTTCTTCGCCACCCCCTGGCACCCAGAGGCCGGAATCAATGCAGCGCTGTATGTGGTAGGACGCCTCTTCCTTGGGCATTTCAGCAATAGTCTTCTGTAGGAGGGCAATGTCCTGTGACTCGAAACAGGCACGCAGACTCTGTGGACAAAACACAACACAGGGTCAGTGCAATCTTGCAGATGCTGTGTTATTACTATTAACATACCTACCTGGTAATCCCACATATGCGCTGTCTCTTAATACAGTTAAGCATTTCCATGCACTGTCCTCTGATGCAGTTGGGCATTCCCATGCATTGCACTGTCCTCTGATGCAGTTGGGCATTCCCATGCATTGCACTGTCCTCTGATGCAGTTGGCAAGTTGGCACTCCCATGCATGTTCATTTCTCTGATACGGTTGGGTACTCCTATAAATGTTCAGTCCTCCGATGAAATTTGGCATTCCCATGCACACACAGTCCCCTGATGCTGCAGCCTAAATGTAATTTTAGTACTCACTGCACATCTCACTAGTTTCTGAACACACGGAGGGTGAAATCTGCAACACAGCTAAATCGGTGATAGTAATTCTTTATGCCATCCTTGCTCTGGTAGAAGCAAACAATTTCAAAGGAAAAAAAAAATACCCCTTTTGCATGCTGCACAAGGTGCCAGACATTTTTAGATCAGCAGGCACTCAGTGGATGGTGCAGCCAACATCAGGCCAGCCAAATATAGTTCCAGCACATTACCTGGTACCATGGCTTTTTTTTTGTCTTCACTGTAAGAGACGAGTGTTTCTCGCCACAAGCATCCCCCCCCCCCCCCCCCCCCCCCCCCCCCCCCCCCCCAGATGCGGCCCCAGGATCCACTTAAGGTAAAATCTGCAGACAAAATCACGATGACTTACCTCTGGAAGTGTTTCCATAACCTCTACAGGATCCAAACCGCCAGGACCAAGACGTTTTTTGCGCTCCTCCTACAAGAGAGTGAAGTCAGATTGTCAATCCTTTCATTCAAGGATATGATTTAACTACATCTTTAAAGGTTCAATCAATCAGGTGGCATCTCAACAATGGATCTCCAACATTCTCTCTCTGGCCCTCGTTGTACACACTCTGAAATGGTTTTCATTCAACTCTCTATGGTATCTTCCCACTGTTACCTATTGTTCGTGTGCCTTCAATTTTCCCTAGTCTGGTTTGTACACAATTTGCTTCTTTCAATGAGGTCAAAATAACTTACCTATTTTTAACTTCTGCCAACTACCCTCTATTTGTTTTGTCTCTTCAGAACTTGTGTATCTGATTGTCTTTAAAGTTAAGGACCCTATTCATGTCTTTGGCACAGCAAGCATATATTGCTTGCCCTATATTTTTATAGATCAATCGGCACTCAACGGGTGATGTGGCTAAAATCATGCTGGCAGACTTTTCTTCTTAAGAAATTACCTAGTACCTATTTTGGCCAGAGCAAAGGTTAATTTAAAAAAAAAAAAAATTATGTGATGTGGATTTGGACCCTAGATTTTGGGATAGCAGGCGAGCATCGAATTGTTTTATTTTCACAAAATCCGGCATATATTTGTGTATATCCACACTTCTGTCATAATTCTTCATTATCTAATTGCATGTTCACTGCCATATCTTCTTCAGCATTCCGAGCCCTTGACGTTTATTGCTGAACTATTACCAGCCCCTATTGATTCCTACGACTATCAACCTCTCTCCAGTTGTGATTCCAACAGCCTGAAAACACTGGGATCCAAAATAAAGTGAAGCACAGCATCTCCTAGCCATGCAAAGGAATAACTAATTACACTTCAGAAAACTTCCAAGATGGACAAGATAAACACTGACCTCTTCATACTCCTTGACAGCCTCTTCTATTCTAGCTTGTGCTCGTTCACGGATTCGACCCCTGAAAGCCTCCAGTTCCTCGTTAAAGGCATCCGTATACTGTTTCTCACCCAGTTTGATCCTGCCAAACAAGAAATATAACAGTGCGATATATTAACTCTAAACCTGATTTCTCCTGGTGTGGGTTCCAGTGCCCCATTGGGGAGGGGGGGGGGGGGGCTTTCTAACAAGCGTAGAAAGGTACAGATATCACCTAGCTGTCAACCACAATATCCCAGCCACCCTTTTAAGGGCGAAAGAAGAATATATTCCCTCTCATTTTATCACAAAAATAAGTCTCATATGACAATTATCTCTTGTTAAAAATTATATTCATCTACCAGGGGCTTCAATCGAAACATAAAGATAGCAATAATTGAAGTGGCCACACTATCTCAAAATGCTAACGAACATCAGAATGAGAGAATTCTACTACTGGGAGAAGAGACAAAAAGTGTTGGCGATCCACTGCAGCCAAGCTTCATTGTGGAGACAGCACCAGACTGACTGAAAACACAGATCAAGGCATCCATTAATATTCACTACACTGGAACTATTCCCATCCAGAACACAATGCCAGAGACCTAATCAACCCCCATATATGAAAGAAACAGACCACTGAATTTAGACTGTGACTGGACACAAAAGACTCTGCAGGAAAATGTACAGGAAAGTCAAGACTGGGGAATCAGAATTGTCTACAAGGCACCATAAAATACTGAACATGTGCTGCAATGGATCTCCAACACTTTTGGTCTTTTGCCCTGGCTGTAATCTCTCTCTATCTCATCTGCTGTTAATTCAACTATCAAGTTATCTGCCCACTTGTACTCCTGTTTACCTGTTGTTTGCGTGTGTTCACAATTTTACCCAGTCTAGTTGTATGTGGATATTATTTTTTTATGAAGTGAAAATATTTTAACAGATTTTAAAAATTTTTTTTATTTTTGTTGACAACTCTCTATTTATTCTGTATCTTCAGAACCAGTGTATGTCCCTGTTTCATAAAATAAAGAACCATATTCTAGCATGCAGCCAAGAGATCCCAGGTTTGGACAGGGTCACACTACAGCGAAAACGGTAACTGTATGGATCAGTGGAGGACAACCTTCAACAGAGGAATTTGGCTTTATCTCAGGATCACTGGAAGGAAGAAGGAAAAGAGGAGTAGAAGTCTACAATGCATCCAGTCACTAACCTGGAGAAGAACGCCCCCACACAGCTGCGGGGGTCAGTTTTCAGACTCTTAGCCAGCTCCAGAATAAACTGCATCACAATACACTGGTGGCTGACATGCTTCATCAGCTCATGTTTCTGTTGGAAAATAAAAACCACAATATTTGCTGTAGTAAACCAACCAAACACATAGGTTCTGGAGGGTCACACTCCTACCTTAATAGCAAAAGACGTAAGAAAAAAGTAATTCAGACAGTAACAAATATGATAATATCAAAACATTTTGAGGAGAAAATAATTTTGACAGTAACAAATACCTCTACCAATATCAAACTTTCTAGGAATACTTGAATAAACTTGTGACAGCAGTCACACATACCTTTCCCAATATTGGAACTCCAGAAACACCTGAATAGCCTGCAACAGTCATACACACTTCCTCCAACATGGAAACCTTCCAGAAATGTCACAAATAAGCTTCTCCAATTTCAAAACTCCCTAAGCTGTGACAGCCTCTCATACCACACTGCCAGGATGCAGAGGTGCTGAATCAAATCTGCTGGTACATCAAGATCAGCGCTCATACTAACCAAGGTCTATCTACACCTCTCTGTAATCCTCTTAGAAACAAGTTCTTAACCAGCGGCCTGACAAATGTAGGTAAGTAGGATCGATGTTTCCTTTATAGTTAACTCGCATCTGCTAAAGATGCAAGGAACCATAAGTCTGCATACCTATAAACTGGATATGTGCACAAAACTTCTGACGAGACTATATGAACATAACATCAAAAGGGGTGAAGCCAGACAAGAGCCCTACACAGGGGCCCAAAGAAGAATAGAAACCTAACACAGAACGGTGTCATAGCCACTACGCGCTGAGGGTGATACTGAAGAGGGGATCTGAGCCCTTATGGACCTGATGGTTTGATGTGCGATGATAATAATCCCTCGACTAACTAAGTTCTGGAACAAGACCAAAATGCAGAACTGGATGACCACCAGAACTTTTCACCAGGGTTTACAGCCAGTTAACATGAAGAAGACACCTGATCCAGCATCAAACATTTCTAGAAACACTTGAGTAACTTGTGACAGTTGTACATACCTCCTCCACTTCCAGATCAATACACCAAATGACCAGATAGTTAGCAGTCTCCTCACACACCAGATAGGGGTGCTCTGTCAAGTACTGCTTGCTGTCATCCCATTTCTGCAGCATGCCATACTTGCGGATCTCAGCCTTGTACTTTTTGGTAAACTCTTGCTGTTGACACATAAAACAAGCAACAATGATAACAAACAAATGTAACACAAAAAAACAAAAAAACTCCTCGCACTTTATTTTTACAGAATGAATTAATCAAGAACTGACATTGTACTCAGACTTTCTCACACATGGTCTATCCCTTTCCTCAGTGGCTAACGATGAGTTCCCATTCTAATTGTGCCAGGTGCAACCTGATTAAAAGCCCACCTGTCTTTTCCCCTGTTCATTGAAAACTTTCAAATCCTCTCCTCACACACCAATGAATCAGTCTCTGCAGGTATGGATACTTTGTTCTGTTGCACTTTCTACATGATCCAATGAAGACTTCCTCATATTGCTGTATAATAAAATAGCTCACCACCCAGAAGAGCAACACCAGGCAATGCAATCTATCAGCTTGCTTATTGCCCCACACCCCAGATGGTCCTTGGTATAAAATCCATGTTATGTTCATGATCTGAGCTTTTATGAAGCGATGCAAGCCACTTTACTCACAGCACACCCATTTTATTTTCTTTAGCACCACTACAATCAGGTGTCTTGCCAAATGACACAGGTGTTGAAGTTACTACAGATCTTGGTCATCTGTGGGTGCAATTCATGTCAACAATTTTCACCTGTGCAACCACACTCATAAGAGAAGCAAAGATTGCTAAAGAAACACTGAAACCTACCATGACAGTCGTGAGAAATGATTAAAGAGGGCAAGACTGGCCATATCATATTAAAAAACCAGCAGCATGTCTTTTACAGAACATCACCCCTAGTATTTGTTACTTTTCTGTGGTTTTACCAGGCAATTGTACACTCAGTAGTTTGCCACTATCTTCTGAACAGCGATGCTCATACCACTGTTAAAATCAATGCAAAGCAATCTACTACCCAAATACTGCTTAGGACAGAAGAGAATCGGGGGGACAAACTGCAAGCACCATGTGACAAATGGCAAAACATGACAATGATACTGCCCAGTAAATGTAAAGTTCCACCATGTGACACCCCAAGGTAGCATATACCAAGAGAATCACTGTAGGAAAAAAATATGGGACTAGTACAGAACTGTCAGATTACTGGATGCATTTATGAGGAAAATAAAACCTAGATAAGAAACAGCTGACTTTGAAGCTGGATATGTCAGGTTATGAAACCGTGTTCACAACCAGTAGGCTCAAAATTCTGATCCGTAGAAAACTTAAGTTTACAAAGATCAACCAGTCATAATTAAATAAAAAATAAAGGACAGCGTGAGATAGTTGACAGCCTAAGCTTGATCTTGGTGAAAAGCAGAAGAAGAAGAAATGTGTGTTTCATGTTTTCTTCTTACATCTCTCCATCTTTCACATAAGTAAACACATAAATACCTGTCTTTCTATTTTCTCTTCTTCAGAAGTTTCTTTTGGAGGTGGGGGCACCTTGTTGATCAGCTGAAAGAGAACATATAGACATAAGAAGTTAAAAGACAGATTCAATATCATCATCAACTTAATCTTCTTCTTCTTCCTGTTCACTGTCTGAAAACTCTGCCAGAAAGTCCTGGTTGTTAGTCCATGGTCTTGTTCCAGAATCTCAGTTTAGCATGCACATCTGTTTTACAGATCTAGCTTATCTGTTTACAGACTGTTAGTTCCACCAACTCTGAAGTAACATCCATCCTATCTACACTGGCCAGGTCTTCTGTTTCTAGATTGACCGGAATGAGGTGTACCCAGATTCTGACCAAATATCATTGCAACGCTTCCCTGTTGTAAATTCGAACACAGACGATACACACAACAGATGGCATAATTTGTTGCTCACATATTTTTTTTTTTGCATTTTTAATGTGCAAACAAAAGAACACTGAATAAAATAAGGTGAAACAAAAGATTTTAAAAATTGTTTTTATAAACTTGTGTTTACCCGCATAGAACAGAGAGTTACTTTGAATTTGGTGGATTATTGTATTTCACTTAAAAATCCTGTAACAATAATGAAGTGATTATATAATCAGTACAGTGAACTTAAATTGAAGAATATGAAAAATCAACAAACTTACAGTTTTAGATTTCCCTTCTTTGCAGATTGTATCAATATTCAGAGGAGTCAGCTGTAAGATGAAATGTGGAAGTTGTCAGAACAACACAGTATAGATCATCTTAATATAAATAAGGCAGAACAATGTAAGTACCTATCACCTCAATACAGTTAGTTAGTTAGTTAGTAGTGTATCCTTGACAGGACGCTGCAGTACAAACCCCAGTATTTTTTTTGGCTGTTGTGGTTTTCTAAGCAACTTTTACTTCAGCAGTTTTCCACTGTTTTCTGAATGGTCAGTTCTTGGTACCACTGTCGAAACCAATGCAAGATGTTTTTCTGCCAAATCATCTGCAGCTCAATATAAGGTAGCATTATTTAAGAACGTGACATCAACAAATCTGGTGCTGGTTCACCATATTTAACATAAAACATCCCCAACAAAATATAAAATACATGTTTCTATTGTTAAATCAATAAGGGCTTCTCATCTTAAATACTTCTAACTAGAAAATAGAAAATACTTGAAAGATTCTAAGAATACCAAGGACCAAAAAGAAAACGCTGACATCCTAAAGATTTAAACATCAAGAAAAAGTGGTTTTTTAATCAGCATCTTGTCTCAGAAAATGAAATATTTTGGTCATTTAAAACGCCATGGAGGACTGGAAAAAAAAAGAAGCAGACGGCATGGTACCAAGTAAGAGGGAGCAGAGGCTGACCAGCACAAGGACAGGCAAAGGATATAAGAGACACCTTGGGCATGAATGTATGAAGTGTAACAGCTGATGAAGAACCAAGTTCTTTTTCGGATGGGCTGTGAAAGGAGCGACGTTCCGCAAAGGACCTGCTACATGATGATGAATATTAATTCACAACTGCAGTATGGATCAGAAATGAAAAGAATGATTTGAGAAATTACTAATAAACTACAATCAATAAATGATTCCTGCATAAAACAGAAGAACTAAAATGTTATGACAGAATCACTAATGTATCCTATCCAAACGTCTTTGCCTTGCCTTTTCAAGTCAATGGAACTTGTTCAACCTATTAAATTCTGCATTGGTGATTCTGTCATATCATTTAATTCCTTCCAGTGTGAAGTTTTAGCGCATATTTGTAGTTAGTTAATGTTTCAATATTCTCTATATTTCTGATCCATATAACAGTTCTAATTTTAACAAAGGTAACAGCCCAGCCCAGAGGGAGAGAGGGGAGAGAGAGAGAGAGAGAGAGAGAGAGAGAAAGAAAGAGAGAGCTAATAATTCCCTTACTTAAAAGAAATAATAATAATAATTTGCATGACAATAATTATATTTAAAAAAAATGTATTTTAGTAATTTGATGGCTGCAATGGGCTGTGGACTTTGCACCTGCCCGTCTGCTTTGTGCTCTAGGAGTTCGACCTCATGGATTTTTCAAAAAATTTACCAAGAGCCCAAATTTTGTCTGCTTCATCTTCTCCTCAGCTAGTTTCTGAGGAAAGAGTTTCACTGAATTATAAAGAAAGCGTAATACTTAAAAAATTTTTTACAGGGTGAAAGGGTTGAACTTACTCTTTCTTCTTTCTTCAGCTCTTCTTCCTTCTTACGGAACTCAGCTTCCTGCTGCTCCAGCTCTGACAATTCAATTTTTAGCTTCTCAAACTCTGAAGATGCATTCTGAATGAGAGGGGGAAAAAAAGAGATTGTATGAAGCAGAAGCACATTAAAAATCAAATCAGAGAAAGAAAAGCAACACGAGGACAGAATGCAGAGGTGCTAAACCATAGATGGTGGTGATGGACCAGGACTAGGGCTTAGACTCGCCATGACCTATCTACATCTCTCCGAAATTCTCTTAGAAACAGGTTCTCAACCGAGGACCTGGCCAAGGTAAATAGGACTGTCAGAGTGCATATGCATGAGAATCAAGGAATCAACAACCAGCACACAAGCAAGCCAGATTTGTAAAATGGATGTGCACGCAACACTTAAGTTTTGGAAGGAGACCAAAGTCCAGAAGTGAATGAACAACCAGGACTCTGCCGGAGTTTACAGCCAGGTGAACGTAAAGGATGAAGACCAACAATTGGTGAAAATCTGTTCTCTTTGTAACATTCTTCTTAAGTAAATAAATTAAATGGGTTTAAATGCAGTCAAGCCATACAATTACAATGAAAAATTCAAAGTGAAAAGGGACAGCTCTACAAGAACAAGGGATACCATAGATGGTACAGCTAAAATGACTCAATTTTTTTGCTCGCTTTCCCTTCAGGACTGAAACACGAAGGACCCAGTGACTCAAACACAGCCATTATTCAAATACCAATCTAGTAGGAGCAAACTCCATATACCCTCTTCAAACCTAAGAAACAGTTACATTTGCACTATCTAGGGTTACAGAAGTAAACGTAATCGTGCGTGGTTAGAAGTGGTTTACTCACATTTGCCTTTATTAGCAGGAAAAATCACTTGAATACAATCACATAAATCTATTTAAAATGGTATTTACCTCCTGAATGTGGGGTTATACTTCGATATAACCAGGCCATAAGATACAGACGGGCTGGGTCCGAAGACAGTAGCTGGTGTTTCTGAAGTGGTTGGGGCTGACAAATATCAGCCATTTTCAGGCTAGGGCAGGCAGGCATGCAAGGAACTAAGCAAGCTGATAGGTTTGTAGGTAAGGCTATTGTGAAACGCTGACAAGACACGGACCAGGCTGATATACTGATTGCTGACAAGACATGGATCAGGCTGATATCTACTGATTGCTCTACAAGAAGTAAGACATTAGCAAAGAACCAAGTGACTGTGAAACTTCAACCATGACCAGACTGCTAGAGCAGCAAGTTAAAAGAGGTGTGGCCAGGTAGGAGCACTATGCAGTATGCCGAAGGAGAATAAGAAAGCAACAAAGAACTGGTGTCGTCAGCTGCTACACTCTGCTGGATTTACTGAGGAGGGGATCCGAGCACTTAAGGACTTAATTGGTTTGATGTGCAATGAGAATAATCTGCCAACTAACTATCTTTAAGCAGAATTTGATTCAGAACACATAAATATTATTCTTTTTCTTTGTGTTCCCCAGCTGTAAACTCTGGTGGAAAGTTCTGGTTGTTCATCCACTTCTGGACTGCAGTCCTGTTCCAGAAGCTTAGTGTTGTGTGTGCATTCATTTGACAGATCTGACACATTTGAGTGCACTGTTAAATCCTGGCCTCTCAGGCAGATGCACTTCGACTTCGAAGGAAGCTCCAAATTAGTCGACTCTTACAAAATGATTTTGGGTAGGCAGTGGGTCTATTCTTGTTTTCCCTTTAATAGGGCCCTGGAACACACATGGGGGAGATAAATATTATCAAGACCCACTCATGCTGGACTACAGGTTACTTCAGTGTTTTTGGGCGTGTGTATTATATGGCTGTGCAGTTGAATGTTGAATACTGAATTAATAATCAACATCATAGCACTCAGGACACACCCATTAGTGCTGCTACCTCCATATCATCAGCAGCAAAGAAGAGTTCAAATTCTGATGGCACGAGTAACTGTCTAATTGTATATCTGGCTCGCCCTTCCCTTGAGTGTTGAGCGTCGGACAGATCTGGTATCTCCTTGCAGTGCCATTCTCCTCAGACCGTAATGATCTATTTGTGCTTCCTCACTGTTCACTAGCTCCCAGAGAGCCCTCACAACGTCTAGCTTGTCATACATCAATTCACCACCAAGTGGTGCAGAACTGGCCAGTCTATCTGCTGCTCATTTCCCAATATGCCGGCATCATCTGATGAGAATATCCAAAGGATACTAACTTCGTGGGACCTCTGAAGGGATGCCTGCCCCTCTGCACGGGGTATACCTGTCTCCATATGCTCTGTGAGGCAATTACAATCGCGGCATGTGGGTACAGCTGATTCTCAAGCCAGTGGAAGGCAGCAGTGACTACACTGAGCTCCATTCTCAAACTAGACGGTGTGATATCATATGCAAGGATTTGTTGCACTAAACCATGTCTATTCGCCTTTGCTATAAACCCCCATGCACTTTGTCTGAGTCATTTGTACAAATAATCACATCACTTGGGTGGGAATTGTCATAAATCATTTATTGAACTTCTGATTCTGCAGCACCAGCTGGCCAGTCCCTGCACTCACGACCCAAAGTGATAAGAACTTTGCACATGTCTGCAACTTGCTTGGACATTATGGACTTGCAGTTGAAGGAGGGTTTCCAGAATTTGTACTTTTTTAATTCTTATCCTTCAGATGTTCACATATATAAAGCCAGTCTGAAATTAAACACATTCTAATGTTTTCCCCACAGGTTTAAGATATTATGCAGTAAACTTATTCAGCCCAAAGCTAGAATGGATGTGTGCGTGTATGTTTATCTCTCCACAGACATGTCTGGCATGGAAAGGTTTATTTTTCTTCTTTGCGTTCAACAGCTGTAAACTTCAGCGGAATGCTCTGGCTGTCCGTCCAATTTTAGACTTTGGTCTTGTTCCAGAGCTTAAATATGCGTGCACATCTATTTTACAGATCTATTGGTTCCTCACCTTTAAGAAACATGCACTCAGACTTCAAAGGAAAAAACCCTAATTAGTCGACTTTTATGACATGCTTCTTATGTTATTGACACATCAGGCATTTAGTACTACCTCTATTCTTATAGACTAATCAGCACTAATGTTTTATCTAGTCAACATCATGCCTGCTGTTTTAATTTCAAAGATTTCTATTACCGATTTAAGGATGGGTCGTTCCATATAATTAATGTACTAAAGAAAAAAAAAAGATCTGATAGAGAATCAAACCTAAGACCTTCAGGCAGGCGTTTAACAACTGGGCTATCATGGCTCCTGTTATCAAGTACCCAACAAAATAACTGTACACTTGTTTAGACTGCTCATGTAAGCTGGAAAGGTAGCCTAAAAGCTATTTTTCCCCTGTGAGCATCTGGGCCCAATTTTGGAGGAAAAATAAAAGACCAAATACCCTTCAACAAGCATGTTGTAAAATAGGACTATTTATGGTTGCTTTCTAAGAAGTCGCAGATGTGCACGCAAAACTCAAGTTCTGGAACAAGATTGAAGTCCAGAAGTGGATGAACAACTATAACTTTCTGCCAGAGCTCACACAAAGGAGGAAAAGCATTTGTTAACTTAAAAAAAAAAAAAAAATTACGAAAAAATGTACCTCCTCTGCCTCTTTCATTTTCTGTCTCATCTGTGCAATCTTCTGCTGGTAGCTGATAGGGTAAACACAAGATAACAATAAATTAGAAAAGGAACATACAACTATTTTTCATTTAAAAAACTACAACAATCTTTATGCTGACAACCACTGCTCTTATCAGTTATGAAAATAGAGAATCATTAACATCCGATGAAATGGGAAACAAACGGATTAAAGAAAAAAAAAGACATCCAAAGGAAACCCTGAGAGGAACAGTGTGAAAAAAAAGCAACAATTGTGACAAATTGTATCCATGACATCGAATGGATTGCACAGCACAAAATGGAGAACTAGACTTCCAGCCTTATGTGATGTACACTATCACAATAGGAGAATAATGACAATGCTCTCAAGAGCTGTGCGGACAGTAGCTTAGCTACTGATGGGTCTGACACATGTCAGACAGGTCAAAGGCTGGGAACCAGACTCGCTCTACTTGTTGAAGTAAACAATTCTTACCTTTCTACATAAGCAAATACAGTGGTCCAGAAACTGTAAAGATTTTATCTTTGGCAGATCCAGGCAATTTCTGCAAACTTACTTCCATCCATGAAAGATACAGGACGAAAAATTAAAACTCAAATGTTATGCATACCCAACCCTACTACATGGTGTAGAAATAATAATAAACAAGCAAAGTCCAAAGACCTTGGAGAATGGGATATACAAAAGAACATGCCACACTCATGAGAACAAAAAACATTTACATACTTGTACATAAGTTCTGGAGAGGCTGACAGTGGAAAAAGTTTTTTAAAAAAGGAAGGGGGAGAGGGAGGGAGAGGAGAGGGGGGGGGGGGGAGGAGGAAATAACTTGGTCACAATAAATGAGTTTTTAATTAAAACAATAGTGATGGGAAAAGTTGGAGGTAGATGAGCTACAGGTTTGTAATCCAAGCTGGAGGATAACATCAGGAAATAGAAAAACACTGTTCTGAGAGTGTTGGAGACCAACTGAAGTCAATCTTCAAAGTGGAGATGCCACCTATATTACTGTGAAGACCAGATGTTGCATAAGTTGTATTTCACAGGTACTGTTAACACACTCATCACAGATAGGAACAAAGAGTACCTCTGTTTTTCAAATTCAAGTTTCTCTTTCTTCTTCTTTTGCTCCTCCATTCGCTCCACTCTAGCCTGGTGGCGCCACCGGAACAAGCTGGGAGTATCAATGTTTGGATGCGTGTCATCTTCATCATCTGAGATCTGAAAAAGATAAAATCATCTGTTAGAATAACTCTTTTTGCAAGCCTTAAGTTTCACACAACTAAGTAAAGGACCCCTTTTTTACGTTAGTAGCGCGTCAGGTATATTATGTTGGACCAACCGGCACTTGAGGGGTAATGTGGTCAACATCATGCTGGCCACCTTTACTTCTGATACCATTTTAAACTAGGTCAACATGGGAGCCAAGGCCATGTTCTGTTCCAAGCTTCTTCACGCATCTGAACCATGGAGAAATGAGATACAGTTCCTTACCCGTGAACCATGGAGAAATGAGATACAGTTCCTTACCCGTGAACCATGGAGAAATGAGATACAGTTCCTTACCCGTGAACCATGGAGAAATGAGATACAGTTCCTTACCCGTGAACCATGGAGAAATGAGATAGTTCCTTACCCGTAAGCCATCATCATCAGGTGCCTTGCCGACCGGCTTGGGCGATCATGCCTCTCCATTATCGGTGATCTCTTGAGCATGTATCAGTTCGTGTGCCGACACACCTCCATGCCATGCAACAAGACTGTCAAGCATCTTCTCTCGTTGTCTTCCTCTATCCCTTCGTCCACAGATCTTTCCAGTGGTCACAACATGTTCTATTTTCCCTCTTCTCATAACATGGCCGAAAAATGATGACTGTCTCCTTCTGATGTCTGTGATAAGTTGTCTTCGGGCTCCCACCTCTTTCAAAACCTCTTTGCTGCTCTTTTTAGCTGTCCAAGGAATTTTAAGCATTCTTCTGTAAAACCACATCTATGAGGCCTCAAGAAATTGTTTGGCCTGCCTACCAATTGTCCAGGATTCACAGCCATATGTTAAAACTGGATGTATGTAGCAAGCAAGAATTCTTTTTTCTAACTCTCAATGACAAGGATATATTGCACAAGATGTTTTTCATTTTATAAAATGCAGTTTTTGCCTGTCCTATTCTGTTTCTTATCTCAGTTATGCATCTTCCTTCTGATGTTATCCATGTGCCCAGAAACTTAAATTTCTGTACTTGTCGTAAAATGACACCATCGACTTTTATTATACATTTAGGAATAATTCGTTTCTTTGATCCCACCGTTACTTCTGTCTTCCCATTATTCAAACTGAGGTCCATTCTTCCACTTTCTAACACCACAATGTCTATCATTTCCTGTAGTTCTTTCTGACTTGTTGCTATCAAGACTGTGTCATTAGCATAATGTAAATTGTTTATATTGTGCCCACCAACCACAATTCCGGGCATATCAATTAAAGATCTTATTATATATTCACTGTATATTGAAAACAAATCAGGTGATAGTACACATCCTTGTCGTACGCCCCTCTTTATGCTTTGAAATGTACCTAAACAGTTGTTAATTCTTATAGCTGCTGTTTGTTGCCAATACATTTATTATTCGTAGGTCTTTCCCATCAATGTTTAATTTTTCTAACAATTTGATCACTTCTTCATGCTTCACACAGTCAAATGCTTTTGTATAGTCTATGAAGCACAAGTACAAATCAGTCTTTACTTCTTTAGCTCTTTCTGACAATGTCCTTAGGATGTATATGGCATTGTTTGTACCTTTTCTTTCTACAAATCCACATTGTTTATTGCTGATTTCTGGTTTAATTTTGTTTCTTCTTCTTCTCATAATTATTCTCAGTAAAATCTTAGTCATGTGACTCATAAGACTTACTGTGCGATGGCCTTCACATTTTAAAGTGCCTGTAAGTATACACCCTTATACTGAAAAAAAAACAACCCCAACACTTCTGGTTGGGTACAATTCCCCATAAATATCACTTTTTCTGACTTGTTTACAGTGACCTGTTTATGATAAACCTAGTTAATCTACAGGTCGTTTTCATGCCTGCTAAAGTGTTTAGGAGGTCTGGATATGAATAAATCAATTACAAAACAGGATTAGAAAAAAGAAGAGGGGGTTGGCTATTCTCTGAATAATGGTCCCAAATTATGGAGGCCAAAAATATACCCTAACAGGGCCTGTCACATGTAAATTGCGGATCTCTTTCCGGCGGCTATACAGCCACTGCCGAGAGTATCTCCCTCGCCGCTACGCGCAGCTGGGACTCACGAGCACACACACACAAAATGTAGGAAGCTGCAGGAGATGCAGTAGCTGCTGCTCTTGAGTCCCAGCCATCTAGTTTAGCCCTGCTCCCGGTGTGGGGGAAACTCTCCGCAGTGACTTTAACTCGGCGGAAGCTTTTCCACGGTATACTGTGTAGTCGCCTGAAAGAGGCTAGATGGCTAGGACTCACGAGCAAAGCTGCAGGAGATGCGGAAGCTGCTGCCCGTGAGTCCTAGCCATCTAGTTTAGCCCCAATCTACACCGCGCGAGCGGCGTGGGGGGGCCACGTGGCGGTAGCGGCTGTTGGCAGAAAACCGCAGGAAGACCGCAAATTAAGTAGCCGGAAGCGCGCAAGTGACACGTGACTGCGGCTCGGCTGGATATTTTGCAGCCGCCATCTTTGCCGACCGGTAGTCGGAGGGTAGCCAATATGATTATTGTTTAAAAAAAAATATATATATAAATGACCTGTGCTACACACACCAAACAAAAAAAACAAAAAAAAAAAAGATTAAAAAAAATTTTTGCTGAATTTTAACGGGGTTATGATCAATGTGTTTAGATTAATGTTAAAAGTGATATGAGAAAAGAATTCTAAAAAAATAAAGCAAGTCCAATGCACGAGTGTGAACCAACAAATCAACCTATTAATGAAAAACATTGCTGAAGTAGGCAAGTGAGACATATATGATTTAGATGGAATCGTGAGAACAGGATGCCAAGGACTATATGGCTATCCTCCAAATAATGGCTACAGATTATGGCGGCCAAAAACACACCCTGAAACGGCCTCATTAGGTCGTGTGTTGTACATATGAAAAAACTTGAACCCGAAAATAATGAGGAACAAAGAAAAAGGGAAAATGACAAAAATCGACTACTTAGCGATAACTGAGGCCTTTATATCAGAAAATTGTGGCACATAAGTTGCAAATAGTTCCCGAAAATCTGTTTTTTGTGGCTGTGGCGCCATTGAAACTTGGCTAAATATTATCGGAACAAACAGCGGCTTGTGCCGCATTGATAAAGCAAATTTCAATGACGAGAATATTCCCCGTGCCGCTATGTGCAGCTAAACTAGATGACTTTGACTCAAATAAAATGAGGAATCTACACGATGTGGTAGCTTCTGCTCATGAGTCCCAGCCATCTAGTCTAGCCTCACTCTACGCTCTGCGGCGGAAACTCTCGGCAGGGAGTTTAACTTGGTGGTTTGTTGCGTTTTGCGACATGATCACCGGAAATTTATCATACTTTTGTTGTGGTAAGAAGTTGACTTCTTCCTAAAATGGACCAGAAACCTGGACTACCACTAAAAGAGTTCTAGCCTTATTACACACTTTTGAGAGCAGAGTCTTACAATGAATCTTTGGACCCTCAAAGATACAAACAACAGGGAGTGAGAAACAATTCATAATCTGTTTAAACTGCTGCTAATTACTAGCATGTGGGCAAACAGACTGACAGAGACAAAAACTGAGTATACAAAACAGTTGAATGATAGTAGACCATAAGGTTTAGGCAGCCCAATAAAAAAGACAGAAAGATAGTCACACCTGAAAACACTTGCAGTCACCAAACGGAACGAGAAGGTCAATCACAGGGATGATTGAAGGTGGGTAATCTCTGCAGTAATGAACCTCAAGAGCTTGGAATGCTACAGAATATTATATTTTGTCATCAGCAACAAACTATGCCCCTTTCATTACCAAAACTACCTCAGAGAAAAGCTTTATAAAATGGTAAGAGACTTTTAGCAAAGCAGAATTTACTAAACTCAATAAATGATCTATTCAATTTTTGAGTAACCTAAAGCAAAGATAAAGCATTTCCCCATTTTGGTGGGAAATAATACTTGCAGACCCATTACCCTTACTTACATGTCATAAAATGAAACTAATTAAAGGATTTACTGAAAATAAATGTTAGACCAAAAGGTGCAGATATCCCAGCCTAACTGTAAACCACAGCAAAAAAAAAAAAAAAAGCATTCCAACTGCCTTTTTTTATTATTATTAAGGGAGAACATAGGAATATAAAGAAAATATGTGAATATGTGATATCTGAAGTGACTAAAGAAAAAAAATGAGTTGGTTCAGGGTCTATCTATGCTTCCTTAGGGTGGGGTCGGTTGCAGAGGCGGATAAAAGGAACAAGGACAAACGACAATGCTTTAATAAGCTTTATGAACTAATTGACGAATTTTATTAATACTACAATGGATTGTAGTGAAGTGAATGGACATTAAGCCTGATATATTATGTGGCTGTACCGTCAGGTAAGGAATTCACTGAATTTAAAACAAACGCAATGAAGAGACGCACATTCATTATTACATATCTAGTGTCATATCCGTGCTACAAATTCTGATATAATTCGTCTTTAAAAAAATTATATTTCCATTTAAGGCAAATATATAAACCAAATAAAATAACACCAAAACGGCGTTGTTATTACCCTTGTATCAAGTTTTATTTAGTCAGCTACCGAACAAAACGACAGAAAAACTAAAATTAAAATGATGAAAATGCGACTGCTGTTTCATCTCAAAACGGTAAAATTTCGGGCGGCCCACCCATTTATGAGCGGAAAAAAGCATCATTGTAATTAAAAAAAATCACAATCTACCTCAATGTGATCCCATTTGCTATAATTTATTGTAGACATTGCAAGGAAATTAATTTAGAAAACTATCGGTTTCTCTGTTCCACTTCTTAGAAAGCTCTGGATGTGTTTAGCGGAAGTTGCGTTAAAAAGTGCGAAGTGCCTTCCAGAACTGAAGCGTTTAGCAGAATATACGACACAAAATATACGGCTATTCCCGCGTGAGTGATTCTATGAGCATGATCCGGTGGGTCGAGGCAGGCTCTGTTTGCAGACAGTAAACTGAGTCATTGAGAATTGGAATGTACTGTTTGTGGAGTAAGAGTCTTTGAAACAGGGAATGAGGGTGCTGTTGGTTGGCAATGAAATAGTTGACAGACAGGCCATGTCTACCTTACTTGCAGATGGCCAGCTTGAAAGGGATGATATTTGCGGACATGGGAGACAAAAAGGCTCTATACACTCTACCAGCAACTGATCATTTCGGTAATAGAGTACGGTTTGGGACTGCTAACATAATCTTATATCGAAACAGAAAAGCTGGAACGCAGAAAAAATATAGCCATGCGACTAATATTGGAGTGTACACGAGACACGCCAATTATGTGCACGCGACACATACTTGGATTACCATCCGTATATGAGAAATATGAGGTTTTACTGGCGAAAATGTACCTTAAACTCGCAACAGACACGGAGCACCTTCTGCGTGAGACCTTAAGGGACAGCAAGGAACAACGGCTGAATAGAAGTGGCACAGGCAAAAGTCACGATCAGAACTGTGCTACTGACAAGACAGCGCGTGGCTAAGAAGGGTACAGTGCCGCCCAGCAAAACAGACGCACAGAGTGATAGTTACCTTGGACCGAGGGTGCCGGGAATGGATAGCTGGTGAAAGAGAGTCAGCAGTGTAAAAGCTGATCAATAAAAATTCACGCTCAGGTGACATCATAATATATACAGAGGGGTCTGTAGTAAAAGGTGAGGTTCTACTGCAAAGGTGAATGGACACTGCTTTGAAACAGAGAGCCTCGCATACAACATCACTACATCCAGTATGAGAATGGAGGTGGAGGCAGTAAAGTCAGCTCTTCGAAGGGTTGAGAATAGCATATCCCGACATATTGTGATTGTAACAGACACAGTGCATGCTTAAGAGAATTATAACTGGTGTCCTGCATGCAGAGTGGCTTGCATCACTTGAGATCATCTAGATCAAGAGCATATGGATTTTTAGTCCATGATATTCGGGTGTGTGAGGTAAGGAGCAGGCTGATAGATTAGCTGCTGCCGCTCCTCTGGGTGGTGAGCTACTATATTATAAAGTGAATGTGGTGAAGGCTCTACGGCAGCCTCAGACCACCAGAAAAAACATTATTTGAAGCTATAAAGGAAAATAATTGTTCTGGGGTCGCCACAACATGAGGGAACTGTATTAACGGGTCGCGGCATTAGGGAGGTAAGTTTGAGAGCCACTGCTCTATCGGATCAAATGGACAGTGCAAAAGAACGGACAGGGAATCAATACACTGAAAGACTTATTCAACGGGAGGGGGTGGGGGGGGGGGGGGGGGGTAAGAAGAGGAAACAGAGGCGGACTTTTATTCATGTTGCAACTCTTCGTTAGTTAATGAAGAAGGGGACGGAGCATGTGTGGGAATGTCCCGAGTGCAGTGATGTCAATTCTAGATTCATTCACTGGCCTGCTTATGGATCACGCTGATATCAATGCTCTTAGAGAGGTAGGAGTTTCAAAACAATGTTCTCCCGTAATGAAATATAGTCAACAAAGACAGCTGCAATTCACTGGCGCTAATTAGATACACACTTTTCCACTTATGTGAACGACCTCAAATATCCACTTCCCACATTATAAAATGATCTCAGACACCCACTTTTCCACTTTTATGAAAATGACTTCAGTTACCCATTTTATAAGAATCAACACAGATAGCCCATTTCCCAAATGCAAAGAATGACTTCAGATACACACTACAGAAAGACGACCTCAGATACCCACTTTATGATAGTGACATCAGATACACACTTTATGATACTGTCCTACGATACCCACTTTATGATAATGACCTACAATACACACTATATGAAGATGACCTCAGATGCCCACTTTATGATACTGTCCTCAGATACCCACTATATAAAGACAACCTCAGAAACTCACTATATAAAGATGACCTCAGATACCCAATTTATGATAATGACTTCAGATACACACTTTATGATAATGACCTCAAATACACACTTTATGATACTGTCCTCAGATACCCACTTTATGATACTGTCCTCAGATACACATTTTATGATAATGACCTCATATACCCACTTCATGATGACCTCAGATACCCACTTTATGATACTGTCCTCAGATACACACTTTATGATAATGACCTCAGATACCCACTTTATGATACTGTCCTCAGATACCCACTTTATGATAATGTCCTCAGATACCCACTCCATGATGACCTCAGATACCCACTTTATGATACTGTCCTCAGATACACACTTTATGATAATGACCTCATATACCCACTTTATGATACTGTCCTCAGATACCCACTTTATGATACTGTCCTTAGATACACACTTTATGATAATGACCTCAGATACCTACTTCATGATGACCTCAGATACCCACTTTATGATAATGTCCTCAGATACCCACTATATGTTAATGACCTCAGATACCCACTTTATGATAATGACCTGAGATACCCACTTTATGATACTGTCTTCAGATACCCACTATATAAAGACGACCTCAGATACCCACTTTATGATACTGTCCTCAGATACACTTTCCAACTTTATAAGAATAACTTCTGATGCTCACTTTCCCACTTCAGAAAAATCTACTTTCCCATTGTAAAGGAAAGCATCTGATGATCATATTATGAAAATGATCTATCATATCTACTTCCCACTTTTCGAGAATGACTTCTGACTGATATCAGTTGTTTCTTTATGAAAAGAATGACTAATGCCACCGTCTGCAGTAAGAATATAATATAATGAATACATGTAACTAAAATCCTTACCAGAAGGTTTGCAAGAATTCACACCAAAATGAGTAGCATAATCAAGCAATATATATATATATATATATATATATATATATATATATATATATATATATATATATATATATATATATATATATATATATATATATATATATATATATATATATATTTATATATATAACAATTATGTGCTGTCTTCACAATAACAGTTGGTGGCTACAGCGCACCAATGCTGTCTTTGTGAATATTACGTGGAGATGCCACAATCTCTTAGGGAGCTCAATGGGTATAAGCCTTGTTTAAGTACATGCTAGCTAATAATAATAACATTCTGAATAGCAAATAAATATATTATTTCTGAAACAATATATGTACAAACAAAAGAATAGAAAAGATTTTAAAAAAAACATGGTGGTGGTGGGATGGTGGGGAGGGGGGGGTCAACTTAGGGCTCCCCCCCCCTTTAACATTTAGGACTGAGGTCCTTCCTTTCTGAAAAACAATTTGTGGTGTGGGGTTGGGGAGAGGGCTCAAGGAACCTAAGCTCTCAAGGTTCCGAAGCCCCTGATTTGAACCAATAATGTAATGCAACTAAAAAAACTAAAAGTGACAACAATTACTTGCCATGTCCTTCTACCAATGAAATCAATGTATCATCAGGGAACATGCAAATCCCTGGGGTATAAAGGGAATTTTCTGGAAAAAGCCAGGAGTATACATTTTATTAAATGTAAGTATTATAGAAATTTGGTTTTATTTATCAGTCATATAATTTCTTCTTTCATTCCCCTGAAATAAGTTGTCTATATCAGCAGTTTTGTCTCTTGTATAAATTTCACTGTTGTTGTTAATAAAATTCAGTGGTCCATAGAGTTTACGTTCCACTGTTGTTTTTCTGGCCAAAAAATTTGCCTTAATGTGTCAAATTCGGTGCAGTCCTGGAGTACATGCTCTGCTGTCGGGGGCACATTTCCACAGGTGCACATGGCTGATACACCTATCTTGAATTTTGTGTACATGTGGTTACATAATCGGTTGTGCCCTGTTCTGAGGCGGAGGATAATGACTTGTTCTGGTCTGTCCATAATAAAATAGTCGTCTTGTGCTGGGGCTGGTGGTTTCCTGATCGATTTAATGATTCTTTTCTTTTGGTGGTGTGTGACTGGTACATCCGGCTGCTCTTTTGTCGCACCTTTCCTTGCCAGTTGATCAGCTTTCTCATTTCCAGGCACTCCACAATGAGACGGTATCCACTGCATTACAACTCTTCGCTGAAGGCTGAGTTGTGTCAGCAGTGTTTGCAATTCTGGTAGTTTCCTAGACTGGAGTGCTTCAAGTACTGATTTAGCATCTGTCAGCATTACCACATACTGTGAGCCAAGATTGGTATTTAGCAGTTTCTCTGTTGCTATCTTGATAGCTTGAGTTTCTGCTTCACAGTTATGACAGTACTTCCCGATTGGTACGCTGGACTTATCCCTAGTACCATCTGGGAATTCAATGTACACTCCAGATATAATTTATTAAATGGCAACAGATAAAATGGTTTGGCCATCTGATAAAAGTGCCAAAGAATGCCAGGCTGAAGAAATACAATGAACATAGAACATGGGAAAGACCCCATATATTATGGAAAGAACAGTCAAAAATAAAGGGAAAAACACCTTAAACAACACATTAGACAAAGCACATAAAAGACCCTTACATTGCTATCCCCCCCCCCCCCCCCCCCCCCCCCCCCCCCCCCCCCCCCCCCCCCCCACGTCCTTTTTTTTTCACCCTGAAGTAGCTGGAGTAGAGAAGAAGAATAAGAAAAAAAGTTACGAATCGACATCTTAGCACGCAGGATATTCCTATAAGTTGCTCTGTCCTCATCTTCAGAGCATGCGCAGAGTCCAATTTCAATGATACTGCTAACAGTCTGCCTGGTTTTTACAGTAGTTTACTGTGATGGTTTGGACATATAAAGAGAATCACAAGTGAGGGAGACAAAAACTTGGTACATAAAAGTGCTGAATGGGAGTAGACCTAATGAGGTAAAATTCAAGGCCTCAGACATGTGGAGTCACGAACTGGAAAGAGCAGGTTAATTACAGAGATAAATGGAGGATTCTATATTTTCATCCATGAGCTTCAAGTGCTCCACTGAGGATGAAGCAGTGTTCCTTTGTTTTTGATCAGTAAGATGTTGTCAGAAGCAATTCAAAGCAGTCTGCTACCAAATCGCTTGCAGCTGGCCTTCAGCTCTAATAAAGATATATTCTTCCTCTACTTCTTCGTGTTCACTGGCTGTAAATCTGGTGGAAGGTTCTGGTTGTTCATCCATTACAGGACTCTAATCCTGTTCCAAAAAACAGTGTTACCTGCACATCCGTTTCCCAGATCTGACTTATATGCATGCAGACTGTTGGTTCCTCACCTCTCAAGAAGATGTACTCTGACTTTTAAGGAAGCTTCCAATTAGTCAACTCTTAATGACACGCTTTTGGGTATGCAGTGAGTCTGTTCTGGTTTTCCCCACAATGGGGCCCCGGAACTCATGGGAAAAATTAACTGATTTCTTTTGAAAGTCCTCATTTCCTCTATTTCCTATTTCAGTGTCTGTTGTTGATTCCCTGTCCTCATCTTCTCAGGATGTGCTCAGTATATCATCATCTCCTGTGTCTTATCATCCTTGAAAAGAAAGGTTATTTCTCTTGTTTCTTCTCTTTAATTTGTCCCATTTAATGTTCATAAAGTTTCTGAGGCATTTGTTTTTGAATGTATTTAAATTTCATTCTATGTCTTTAGTGGTTCTCCAACTATCCCTGGCCTATGTTAAAACTGAAAACACTTGAACTGTAAATGCACAGCCTGGTTTTAAGACTAAATAATTTACAATTTCCTATTTTGTTCAAGATTTTAAAATGTGTCACTGCTTTGGACTCTTAAAGCCAACTGTAAAAAAATCTGCCCTCTGTGGCTTCAAACCCATCTACTGGGCCAACAGGCAAGTTTAATATAAAAAAAAAATAAAGACATCATAAACTTATAGTCCTAAACTTATAGAATTATATGAACATGCGGAGAGATAAATGTTTAAATAAACACTTCGAAAACACAAATTTGTGTGTCTAAAAGAATATAAAGTTGTGTAAATGATGAATGCTAGCACCAGTAAACATATCATCATCATGTGTCCTCCAATAAGCATAGGTTGTCTTGCTTTGGTTGGCACTGTGGCTAAGTTGATGCGAAAGCTTCGTAATACCGGGGTGCTGAGTTCGATCCCAGCTGCGTGCCATGCGACTTGCGTTGGTTTCGACAGTGGTATCAGCGAGCCGACCGTCCAGAAAGCAATGGCAAACTACTGGACATAAATTTGCCTAGAGAAACCAAACAACAGCCAGGGGCTGCTGGGTTTGGTTCTGTAACGTCCTGTAGAGGATACGCAACTAACCTGTCTTGCTTTGCCATCTCACATGATAAACACAATCACGAATCAGGTCAGTAAAGATGTGCTGTAGTATAGAATGGTTAGTAAAGCACTGCATGCCAGCGAATGTAGGTTAAACATGAATGAAAGAAAAGAAATGCAATAGTCAGCGATACATGCCCAAAGTTAGGTGAACAGCCAAAGTGTTGAGTCTAATGTTATGTGAATTCACATGCCTAATATGATTAATGTTAGACGTATAAATTAGAGCTAAAATTAACTTATGCATCTGAAGTAATACAATAAATTCACACTTATAGTTTAGATCTAAAATAACATATGTGTCTAAAGTAATAAAATAGATTAACACTTGTAGAGATCAATTTCAGTCTAAAATAATTTATGTGTCTAAAGTAATAGAATAAATTAACACTTGTTGAGTTGAATGTTAGAAAAATAATTTAGATCCAAAAATTAACTTACGTGTCTAAAGTCAAGTAATACAATAAATAAGCATAGGTCAAGATTAATGTTTGAGGTATAAATCAGATCTAAAATAACTTATGTGTTGAAACAATACAATAAATCAACACTTGGTGTGACAAATGTTAGGAATATAATTTACACATACAATTATTGCATGTGTCTAAAGTAATAAGTAAAGTAAAGATCCCTTTTCACGCCTTTCGGCGCATCGGGCATATGGGCAGAGCGTCCCATATTTTTACAGACCATCAGCACTCTGTGGGTAATGTGGTCAGCATTACGCCGGCTGTCTTTACTTTCCCAGGGCAGCCCATCCTGGTACCCATTTTAGGCTGGGTCGACCTGCGACGCCCCATGCCACGATAAAAATCCACGCATCCTGCAGTGGGTTTCGATCGCGGCATACTGGCTCACGAGTCGGACTCGCAACGCCTTAGCCACACAACATATTAACATCTAAGATATAAACTTTTAATATAACATGTGTGTTTAACGGAACAATAAAATATAAAATGTGTTGACAGTAATTAAAGGCATACATTCACAGAACATAAACTTATATGTCTAATAATTCAATACAACATATAAAATGTTAACAGAAGTAAAGTGAGCACTAGAAATCAACTGCTACAATATAAAATAGTTAGTGAAGCGTTGCATGCCAACAGATGTAAGTTCAACATTTAGAAAAAAAATGATAATCCACAGCCCAAGTGAAGTGTTAGAACCAGGGCTTTTCCTGGATGTATGGTACATTTTAAAAAAATCTTAGGCATCAAATTTTTCAGCTCTACTGTTGTAAACACTGTAGTGGGTACAGGCACTTTTTTTTATATTATAGACATTTTGAGTATTGGCATTCTTTCTTTGCTTTTTTGTGTGTTTGTTTAGACACTTGAGCACACTTCTAAACAAAAAGCCTTGGTTAGAAATAATACACCAAACTACTGAAATAACCAAAACCAAATAAATAAGAAAATTAGAAACACTAAGGTGCAGTCCAACACAAGAAGTAAAACCGCAAATTTCATTTTTACCTAAATACGAACATCTGGAGAGAAAAAGGATGGAATATAACATGTTAGGCAATCACAGTTTGTTAATGACTTTTGAAGACCCATGTTTCTACAGCAAATATCTATACAAACTGCAGTAAGTAAAAGACACTTTTATGTCATTGGCTCAAAAGGGCATGTGCTGCTGGACATATTTTTTTAAATATAGATCAATCATCACTGGCTGTGGTCAACATCCTGCTGGCCATCGTCACTTGACAAGACTTCCTAATACCAATTTCAGGCTGGGTTGACCAGGCAGCCATGATCAGTTATAAAACATGACATGGATTGAAATACAAGTGTCTAGCCATTCCTCTGCTGCAACTCCCAATAATCCTAACTAATGTACCATACTTTTAGATGTATAAGACCACCCCCCCCCCCCCATTTATAAGATGACCCCTATACATTATGTGTATATGACAACCCCCAATTTTAAACTTAAAGATTTATGTAAAACATACTGTCTTTCACATGTAAAATATAGTATATTACTGCAATCTGCAACAGAAAGAGTTTCAAATTAACATTTCAGAATCATAAACATCAAAATCAACATAACCCTTGACCCGTCATGGCGGTGTATCGATGAAGTCACTAGCACACAAAACCTACCATTTTTGTCTTCTGCTTGCGGAACTAGTGTTCTATATATAAATAGGTTCTATATGGGGTGAATGGATTCTACATAAGATTTTGAAAGGACTGTGTAGGACAGAATAGAATATCAGAATAGACTGCTAGCCCTGTGTGGCGTATAAATGGAGATTTGAATCTATAACCATCAGCCAGGCAGGCAAGTATGGTAACACCACTATATTACTGTGGCTTCTATAGTATATGTGAAGAACCTTTTTTGAACTGGTGCATCAGACATACTATAAAATGGGTCACGCTCAGTCTGCTCTTTACTGAGCTTTGGTAATAATTAAGACCTCTATTGTTTCTTTGCCAGATGATTTGTTGTTTCTTCTTTGCTGCACTTATATTGTGGCTGATGTTTCTTGTCTCTGCATGCCACTCATGTCTCGGGGTCTTGGTCGGTGAGGTTTCATCTGCGGAGATTGGCTGTCCCTTGGGAAGACTAGGCATTTAGTTCTAGACCCATATTATATATAGATCGCTTAGCACTGAATGGGGATCAGATAAACATAATGCCGGCCACTTTTACTTCCCATGGTGTTTCCTGGTATAAATTTTAGGCTGAGTCGACCTGAAGGCCAAGCCTAGTGAAGCACATTGGTACAGTCTTTATGATCAAGTTAGGAGATACTGTAAGCAACTTCTAATGGAAACAATCAGTAGATATACCCTGGGGTGTCTGCGGCATCGTAGGACTGAGCACACATGGGAATGCCTAACGTGCAGGAACACTAACTGTGATAACATAAGGACATCTCATTAAAAATCAGCCACAATGCTGATATAAAACAACAGCCTTCGGATGGTTAGGCAACAATACAAGCCACTGCATTAATCTAGCTCCTATGCCTTTAGGACAATGCCATGGTCATCTAAGTGCAATGTGGGTGATTTTCACCTAAGTGCAATGTCAGGACTGTTATCTGACACCTAACAATAAACTCATACATGTGAATTCCTGCTCTAAATAGGTCAAAATTAAATATTACTCTTCATCCTACTACACGATTATTCACATACCTCAATGCCAAATGTATTTTTCTAGAAACAAATTTTTTTGCACTTATGTGACGTTGGCATAGTCTTATGCCTTCTATTTCCCATTGGAGCATAGGCCCTCAAGCAACTCAAGCCAAGCCGTTCTATACTTTGCTATTGCATGCAGCTCACCCCACATGCTGCCCATCTTTCTCTTGTTCCCTTCTCCATGTGTTTTCTGGGTCTGATTTTATTTCTATGCCTCTTTTGGTTCCAGTTAAAAGACTTTCTAGTTATATTGTTCTCAGGTTATGTGATTTTGGCGTAGTGCCAACAATATTATCTTGATTATAATGACTGACAACAGAGCTCACACAAACACTTACCGCAGATTTCTTAATTTTAGCCTTGGACAAATGCAGCATTCCAGACAATTCCTGGACCATGTCTGTCTCATCCTCAATCTCCTCTTGGAGCAGCTCCTCCAGAACATCTTCCAAAGAAATAATGCCAACCACATCCTGAGGAAGTCAGGGGAGTAGTGAGTGTGGTAGTGATCAAAAGGAGGGGTGTGGAGCTGGAGGGTGTAGCTAAAGAGAATGTATTGTCCACAGGAAGATTGCTGAGAAGAAACTATATATGCTTTTGCACCATGCAGTTTACAAGGAAGGAGGAAGATGAGAAGGAAAAGAAGGAGGATATGAAATGACGAAAAAGAGGAGGAAAAGGAGAAAAGCAAGAAGAAAGAGAAGGGCAAGACAAAAAAGCGGAGAATGAGAGGATGAGGAAAAAGAAAAGAAGAAGAAGAAGAGATGAAACAGAACAGCAAAAGAAGAGAGTTAAGGGCCCACTGACAGATACAAACAAACACCCTTTAAAAGCAAAACAGAAGAAAAAGATGAAGAGAAGAAGAAGAAGAAGAAATAAAAAAGTATAAAAGTATATAAACAAAGTTAGTTGTGTATCCTTGTGCAGGAAGTTGCAGAACCAACCCCAAATGGTAAAAAAAAAAGGTAGAGTCGGGAGATGTGAACCAGCGTCATTGCACACGGTTATTAACCATAAGTGCTCTGCCACCTGTATGGACAGCTGATAAGAATTGTCCACCTGTGTCGCCGCCTGCACGTAACTCTGTAGCTACAGCGACGTTCCTCCATTTACCCCAGAGTGTCAACACTAGTACCCATTTCCTAGAAACCCAGGAACCGCCCGGTTTCGAACATCGATCGTGGGCTGCAGCGAGTCGCAGCTGTATTTGAAAGCGAGCCTTGTATCGACTGCGTTAAGGTGGCCCCCAGATGTTTTGGCTGTTTGTTTGTTTACTAAGCAATTTTACACTCAGTAGTTTTTAATTGTTTTCTGAATAGTTGGCTTTTCATATGATTGTCAAAACCAACACAATCTACTCCCAAACTGCCTGCACCTGGAATCAAACCAGATATTTCGAGATTACGAATCGTGTTCATAACTCTTAAGCCATAGATGCAGACATACAAACGAAATGATAATATGTAAGTAACATACACATCTGCTTGCTTGTTGTGTGGTATTCTTTGCTTCTGTCAAATCCATCTCAACAACATTCTCCAGCAAAGGAACTGATTCGCTGGGCAAAGTGTTGTCTTTATAAACTTGCCTGACCACAGCGAGGTGACCTGGAGATGAGGGTATTTAGTTATTTTATAAGGTAAACTTACTCTTCTTCTTCTTCTTGTTAGTGTTAGCTATCTGTAAACTCTAGTGAAAATTCTGGTTGTTCATCCAATTCTGTACTTTGGTCTTTTTCCAGAACAGGAGTTTTGAGTGAACATCCATTTTACAGATCTGGCTAATTTGTATGCAGACTGTTGGTTCCTTGCCTCTCAGGCAGACACACTCCGATTTAGAAAGAAACACCCCTAATTAGTCACCTTTTATGACATGCCTTTGAGGGGGGGGGGGGGCTGTGGGTATATTCCTCCCCTTCCCCAAAATGGGGCCCTAGAACCATACTTTTGCTTGTAGAAACAGTATATATAATAAAAAAAGAGACACGTTACTGATTGGCACTCACAGAAGGAAGTAGAAAAATAGAACAAACTAGACAACCTAAAACTCAAAGGCTCTCAAGCTGGAAATCAACCATATTACCTCCAAATGAAAGCAGCATTTCACTGCAGGAATAAGCTAGACACCCCTACCACTGCCAATCAATACATGTCTATTCTATATATATTCCTCTTTTTAACTGCTTTTGATTTCCCAATGAAGAATGGGTCCCCAAAGCAATCCATACCAAGAGCCTTATAGACGAGCCAAACTGAGTTCTTTTCCCTCAAGTATGGTTCTTATAATAGTGCTGCCTTAATACTAATTCTGAAATATTTTATAATCTCTTTTATATTTCATAACTTTCTTTACATTGCCAATTTCTTCAAAACCCTTGTAACGGATTCTTTTTGTTTCCATGAACTATAACCTATTCTTCTGTACATGATTAATGACATTAAACATAAGATCATGAAACTGTATATTCCAGTTACAAAACTGTGTTTTGGTTTGGTTTGATTCGAGAACCGACATCACAGCACTCGGGGCATTCCCATAAGCACTTCGTCCCCATCTTCAGCAGCCGGCAAAGAGTTCCGATACGAATAGTGCCAGTAGCATTCTGATTAAACATCCGTCTTGCCTTCCCTCTGAGCCTCGAGCATCTGGCAGAACCTCTCGTCACTCCCTGCTGCATCAATCTCACCAGACTGTGGTGATCCATCTGCTCCTCCGAACTGTACACGCTCTCCCAAAAGGCACTAACCACGTCTGTCTTATCATGTATCAGTATTCCACCAAGTTGTGCAGAGCCAGCTAGTCTGTCCGCCTTTTCATTTCCCAACACTGGTGTGACCCCGTGAACAAATTCAGACAATACTCCTCACCCGTGTCCTCTGCAGCGAAGCATGCCACTCTGCACGAAGCATACCTGTTCTGATCTTCCTCTCAAAACTGTGTAAGATTAACCACATTTATCATAAAAGCAGGAAGTCAACGTGGCGGAGCGGCTAGACACTCGCCATAATCGGAAGGACGTAGGTTCGCTTCCTGGTGGAGTCGGATGTTTTTTTCAAAAATGACCTTGGCTCCCAGGTCGACCCAGCCTTGAGTGGGTACCGGGTGCAGTCCCGCAAAGTAGAGGCGGCCGGCGTGATGCTGACCACATCACCCACCTTGTGCCGATTGGTCTATAAAAATATATGTCTAGCCCTATATGCCCTATACACCTAAAAGCGTAGAAAAAGGCCCTTTACTTTTTACTTATCATAATATCAGCTAATATTTCCCCCGGTGGACAGGCGTGCCAACTGTTTTTGTTGTGGCAAGTTACTTATTTCTAGCCACAGCTAGCTGTTACCTTTTCCAAAGTATGCAGACTGAAAGTATAGTTCCATCGCCCAGCTACTGAGTTGAGTGCATGGTGCAATACTGTGAGTTGCAGATTTCATTTGGAAAGCTTTTAAACTGTGCCTAGTGTGGTTTGTTGTGAACTCCACATTCTGAAAATAGCGAGTGGCCTTTTTGCCACAGAACTGCTGATACTTTATCCATTGTTGTTTCTCAGTCACATAATGATTAATGATAAACAACGCTAAACATAAGATCTTCATATTTCTGTTCAAAATTGTTTATGATAAATGGTATTAAACAGCCAGTGAGCATATTTTCCCAGTCCCAAAGCTGTTTATGATAAAAAAAACTATTTATGATAAAAGATATTAACATCCGGTCAGCAAACTTTTTCCAGTCCCCCAAAAGTGATTATGATAAATGATATTAACATCTGCTCAGCAAACTTTTTCCAGTCCAAAAAGTGTTTGTGATAAATGATATTAACATTCGGTCAGCAAACTTTTCCCAGTCCCAAAAGTGTTTGTGACAAATGTTATTAACATCCGGTCAGCACACTTTTCCCAGTCCAAAAAGTGTTTATTATGAGTGATATTAACATCCTGTCAGCATAATTTTCCCAGTCCTAAAACTGTTTATGATGAATGATATTAAACATAAGATATTTATACCTCCAGGTAAAAAAATGTATTTATGATAAATATCAATATCTAGTCTATTCAATATAAAATTAGTAAATTTTCCCCAGTCCCAGAACTGCTTATGATACATTTAATATAAGATCAACATACTTTTGCCAGTTTGAAACAAATTGAGAAGATCAAACAGCGGCATGTTATGGTTGACAAACAAAGCAGATCGGGAATAGCGCTCATCTCCTATCAGACTTCTGACTGGCACAGCATCCTCTGGATCCAGTTTGATGAGTGTCTTCGTCAGTAGCAGAGCCACAATGTTATTGCGGTCTGTTTCAAACACTGGCACCCGTGAGTGGCCATGTGTCAGTATCTGTGTAAAAGTGGAACAAATGTTTAACAGTAGAACAAATGTTGAACAGCCAAACAAATGTTAAACGTAGAAGATCTTCTTCTTCTTATCGTAATTGCTTTCTGATTTACACCGACAGACAAGTTCTTGTGATAAACTTGACTGTTTTAGGAGTTCCTTTTTAGTTCCATACAACTTTGACTGCAATGTCGACTCACTGGGCCAGTATTCCCTTCTTAATGGGCTGTACAAGAAACATTTTCTGTAATCTGCACACACAGCCAAAAAGAGCACAAAGGTGAACTACTAAGTTAAAGCACATATGCTTGCTGAGTTTATTATGACCTGTCCTGGGGCGTAGAATAATGTCCTGCTCATGACTGTCAAGTAAGTAAGTTAGTTAGTCGACAGATTATCCTCATTGCACATCGAACCATTTAGTCCATAAGTGCTCAGATCCCCGCCTTAGTAAATCCTGCAATGTGAAGTGGCTGATGACACCAGTTATGTGTTGGTTTCTTATTCTTCTCTGGCTTCCTGCATAGTGCTCTTTTCTGGCCACACCCATTTTACACGTTGTTCTTGCAATCTGGTCATGATTGCAGATTCACAGTCATTACTTGGTTCTCGCTAAAGTCTTATTTCTCGTTGTGCATTCAGAATATCAGCATGGTCCATGGCTCGTCCACCCTCTACAGAAGCTTTACCTGCTAGCCGATAACTTGCAAGCCTATCAGCTTGCTCATTTCCTTGCATGTCTGTGTGCCCTGGCACAAATATGAAACTAATATGTGTCAGCTCGAATTGAACCGCTTTAGAGACTCCACCCACTGTCTTCGGATCCAGTCTTTCTCTATCTTCCTGAGCATACTCATTGAGTCAGTGAGAAAGCATGCGCGAGAAAAGGTCTGTCTCCAGCCATGTTACTGCTTTGGTCACTGTCATGACTTCCATAGTCAGACTACTTGTCATCAATGCAACAGCACCAGAATCATGTTACACAATTCTAGCTCCAGTCTGCACCATAAAAGCCCAAGAGCTTCTTACATGACAAATTACTGACCCATCTATGTAAATGATAGCATCCCACTGTAGAGAATTCTCGAAAATCAAATCCTGAACTTCTGTCTCAACAGCGGCTGGACTTTCTTGTCTGCATTTTCTGTCTGCTCAAGTAAGTGACTAAACTTTCACTTCTGATAGACTGGATGGCCCTTTTCTTCGCATAGTATGTTAGTACATTCTCTTCCTGTTCGCATTCTGCTCCTTTCATAGCAAGTTTCTTTGCAGTTTCGTTTTCTGGTATACAACAGTAGGATAGCACCCAATGGAATACAGTACAATTTTGTGCAGCCACCTTGCTGAGTTCAAATCTCAGGTAAGGAAGTTTACCACTCCTGAGGGCTTGGAGCACTGATAGCGCATCTGTGAAGATGACCACTTGGCCAAAACTAGTGCTGTGTAACATTTCGGTAGCCTGCTCTAGTGCTAGGATATCTGCTGTGTAGTTAGAATAGAATTTACCAGTGGGTTTACTCTGTGTGGTTGTGGTTGCCTGGGTATGTAAGCAAGATGTCAGCACCACCATTTTAAACCCCACTGCTTGCTGATCCATCTGTGTAAGCATATATCCATAACTGTTCGGGTTGCTTTTCCTGAATCATGCTAAGAGCAGCTGTTCATTTCTGAAGGTCGTTGGACTCATTTCTGCTTTGAATCCATTTCCTGAAGTCATTATCTGTATTGTGTCGATGACTTGCTCCCAAGGTACAGGGTATGGGGTAAGTTTCAGCTGTGTTGTTCTCATGGATAGATCTGCTTGACACTGTCTTCTAAGTCTTTTCCCCGATGGACAAAGCTGCTATGTTTGAGATGCCCCAATGCCAGATCATCTAACCTTGCTTTCATTGGATGTGATTGCATTCTATTAAACATCTCCATCTGGACCACAGTTTTAGTGGCTCTTCTATAGGACAGTGTCTGCATTGCAGTTACTTTCTGCATCTCCAGGATTGGTCCAGTTTTTATGGATCCTGTGTTGAGTCTAAAGGCTTGATTTTGCACTCTGTCTAATGATTGTAGATGGGAATTAGCAGCTGCTTACCAAGCTGTTAAACAGGTGATGGTCACTGCCTCCCAGCTGGTCTCCTAACTCCCTACTTATCATTCCAGATATATCTGGGTTAGAGAAAGCAAGATCTGGGGTTGAGGTTGTCTACCACCTTCTGGAGTATAAAGTAGGAGTAACTGAGAAGGCACTGACCAGGATCAGAGAGTGGTCTTCTTGCCATGTGTCCACCTCTTAACCCCTGTTGTCAGGATGGTTATAACCCCAGCTGTGAATGACCAGTGAAGTCTCCAACTGCAATAAAGTTGGAATCTGGTACCAGCACAGAGCTGAGACTTAATGGTTAGTAAATTGGGTAGTAATAGGAGGTCTAATTCTATTTTGTTTGTTTTAAGCAATAATAAAACAAATACATTTACTAATACATTCCTAGTAGAACAAATACATATCTTTACATATTTATTCCAATTAGAGCAAAGATATACATTTACTAATGCATTTCAAGTAGAGCAAATATATATGTTTAATTATTTCTTAAAGTATAATTAATGATTATGTTTAGTATCTAATCACAGAATAAACAAATATATATTTGAAAGAACTACAGTAATGCTGTGGCCAGATGCTTGTCTGCTTTGTTAGTTTGTTATCATCAGATTATCCTCACTGCACATCAAATCATTCAATCCACAAGTCCCCCGTGTGGGTTCCGGGGCCCTACTATGGGAAAAACAAGAATAGACCCACTGCATACCCAAAAGCATGTCGTAAGAGTCGACTAATTGGGAGCTTCCTTCAAAGTCGGAGTTCCTCTGCCTGAGAGGCAAGAAACCAACAGTCTGCATACAGATCTGTCAAATGGATGCACACGCAACACTCAGGTTTTGGAACAGGACTGCAGTCCAGAAGTAGACGAACAACCAGAACTTTCCGCCAGATTTCACAGCCGGTGAACGCGAAGAAGAATCCACAAGTGCTCCGATCCCCTCCTCAGTAAATCCTGCAGCCTGTAGCAGCTGATGACACCAGTTCTGTGCTAGTTCTTCTTCTCTGGTTTGCTGCATAGTGCTCTTCTTTGGGCACACCCCTTGTAACATGGTGTTCTTGCAGTCTAATCATGGCCGCAGATTCACCGTCATCACTTGGTTCTTGCAAACATCTTACTTCTTGTAGAGCATTTAGCTTATAGAGAGATAAAAAGAGTACAGTGGTATGAAGAGTCACACTGGGGAAGAGACTGGAGCCTCACCATGTAATACTCCCACAGTTAGCAGTGGACACATTGTAGCCAATCTCCAATGTGGAGACAGCATAATTCCCATCCTCCCTCATACATCTCCAATCAAAGCAGACTAAAAAATAAATGTAATATCAAGGGAAAAACAGGTGGCTGGCATGAGGATGACCATATTATCCACTGACTGATGACTGGTCTATAAGAAAAATATGTAACATCATATGTCTGGACCAGATAAGTAAGAAGTGTATGATTAACACTTACGTCATTCATAATTTCATAGTCCAACTTGGCATTGATGTCTAACATAAACACTTCATTGATGTTCAACATGGCATCTTTTGCTGTCTTGCTCTTCATGTCCAAGCAACCCTAGTTATTGAAAGTCATCAGTTTATACAACTACACACAGATCTCTCTCTCTCTCTCTCTGTATATATATAAGGACTGTACCAAATAGTGATTTTCACTATTCCGCAGAACACGAATACCTGGACCAACTATTCGGCCGAATATGAATACAAATAGTGAATCATCATCATCAGGTGCTTTGCCCACTGGCATGGATGATTATGCCTCGCTACAATCTGCGATCTCCTGCAGCATGTATCAGTTTGTGTGCCGACACACCTCCATGCCATGCAACAAGACTATCAAGAACTTTCTCTCGTTGTCTTCCTCTATCCCTCCTTCCACATATCTTTCCAGTGGTCACCACATGTTCCATTTTCCCTCTTCTCATAACATGGCCGAAAAATGATGACTGTCTCCTTCTGATGTATGTGAGTAGTTGTCTTCGGGCTCCCGCCTCTTTCAAAACCTCTTGGTTGCTCTCTCTCTCTCTCTCTCTCTCCCTCTCTCCCTCCCTCCCTGTGTGTGTGTGTGTGTTTGTTTGTGTGTGTGTGTGTTTGTGTGTGTGTTTGTGTGTGTGTGTGTGTGTGTGTGTGGGAGGGGGGGGGGCTGTCCAAGGTATTTTAAGCATTGTTCTGTAAAACCACATCTCTGAGGCCTCAAGAAATTGTTTGGCCTGCCTACCAATTGTCCAGGACTCGCAACCATTTGTTAAAACTAGATATATGTAGCAAGCAAGAATTTATTTTGTAACCTTCAAGGACAAAGATATATTGCATAAGATCTTCTTCATTGTATAAAATGCAGTTTTTGCCTGTCTTATTCTGTTTCTTATTTCAGTACTGCATCTTCCATCTGATGTTATCCATGTGTCCAGATACTTAAATTTATGTACTTGTCCCAAAATAAAACCATTGACTTTTAGGAATAATTATTTTCTTTGATACTGCCATTACTTCTGTCTTCCCACTTTTTAAACTGAGTCCCATTCTTCCACTTCGAATAGTGTATAAAATAGATCTTAAAAAAAAAAAATATAATGTCAAATGTATGCTGAAATTTTACTTCACAAAATGTAGTACAGAATAGTAAACATTTAAAAACATTTCATGTTTTGCATAATTCAGTCAGTCAGTCTGTGGTAACTAATAACTAAGAATAAAAGTATTCTTAGTTTTATAACAAGTAACTAAACTTGTGAATCGTCACTGACAGCTTAGTTTATCCATGAAAGCGGCATTAGCTTTAAAAAAAAAATTGTTCCATGTTGTCAGCATTTAGGCAGCTTCTTGTCTAACTGAAGGTATTCCCAGCAGTACTAAACAGACGTTCACTTGGTACGCTCGTAGGTTGTGCACAAAGATAACGCTTGATAGTATGAACCAAGGTGGGAAATTTTGATATGTTCATTTTCCACCAGTCATGAAACGGGTGTAAGGTAACCACTATTCGTATTCGGCCCGGCCGCAACTATTCGGCTGAATACCAAATAGTTATTAGGTCCACTAATCGGACCCCGAAGCGAATACGAAGCGAATATTCGGTACAGCCCTAATATATATATATATATATATATATACACACACACACACACGCATGCACGCACGCACGCACGCACACACATATATATATATATATATATATATATATATATATATATATATATATATATATATATATATATATATATATATATATATATATATATATATATATATATATATATATATATATATACATTTTACATACACATACAAACATATACTCACACTCATACATACATACATACATACACATACACTCATACATCATGCACATACATACCTACAGTATATATACATATGTACATACACACACTCATATACATTACACTTATTTATATACCCACACCTATGTATATACACACACAGCCACAAAGTTATTCACTCAGGCTCACACACAAACACACTTGCACTCTTATATATATATGAGTGCAAGTATATGTGTGTGTGTGTGTATTTGCACATGTGTGTGTGCATGCGTGTGTGTTAATGTGTATAAATATATGTGTATTATATTTAAATGTATGTATCAGCCAGACATGCTTTCATGTTTGTACTCACTGTATGTATACTGCTATATTAACACAACATACTTCTAGATAAGAAACAATGTGATGTCAGAGAGGAATGCTTGAAAGGGTCGTATGTAAGGCAGGTCTACGTGCCCAGTTTGTGACTATTTAAAAATATAATTTATTCATCCATTCATTACTTTGTGGGTGGGCAGGTGGGCTGTTTATGGTGGGTAGTCACAATAAAATGATATGTTCCTAAGAAGTGTTTGTCTCTGCCATCAGAAAAACACAGACGGACAGACAATGTAATTTATGCACTAATGCACACATGTACACACTCACACCCAGAGAAGCACAAACATAAAATACTCACACATACATGCAAACAGCTACTCACGCACAGACAGTTAGACTCACAAACACAGACACAAAAACACACACAGTGTTTTTGTCTTTATTGACCCCGAACATGGAAAATCCAGGGGAAATCAACAGCTGATGGGACAGTAGACTATTTCAGGTGGTGGTATTATTTAATTTGCCAGGCAGGTCTGAGTTTTGTGAGATTCTGGTGGCGGTGTCATAATTGTAATACTCATTGCCCTAACCCTAACCCTAAAGTTAAACCTAGGACTCACGGGAGAATTAAACCTAGGACTGCAGCAGTTTGCAATCAAAACAAATACATCTAACAAGATTTCTCAGCAAACTTCAACCAAACTCTAAAATTAAAAACAAAAAAATTATTATGTTTTAACTGTGGCTGCTGGGATATTAAAACATGATTTGTGAAAACAAACTAGAAAATTAGTGCAACTGGCAAGATTGATTGAAAGGGAAGCAAGAGAAAGACGTACAGATAAACCTGGATGGCTTGACCACACGGACTGAACGTTGTTGAATGTTGAATTAAGAATCTACATGATATCACTCGGAACACTCCCGCACGCACTCCGTCCTCATCTTTAGCAGCAAACGAAGAGTTCAAATTCCGATGGTACCAGTAACTCTCTGATTCTCTCGCCCGTCCTTTGAGTCTTGAGCATTGGTCGGATCCCGTGGTAACTCCCCCCAGCACCATTCTCCTCAGACTGTAATGATCTATTTGTGCAAATCTGACCAAAAGTTGGAATAGGACAAGAGAACTGACATGATTCATGATTCTGGTGATCGGGTGGGATGGCCAAACATACTGGTGTATGCTTATCAACAGGGCACATGATAAAAATGTGGGGTGTTACCTTAATGATCGTCACTTCATCCTGTGTAAGAGCATCTTCTCTAAACTTCACACCATCTGTCTGCGACTCTCCTCCATGAATATCAATCAGAGCCTTGAGCTGGGCCCGCCTAAAGAATGTTCTGTGTTCTGTCCCAAAGCAACAGTCTAGCAGCTTGGACAATGGGTATGTGATAATGAAACATACGCCCATTAAAAAGTAGACCAGCCTGAAATAAGCAAAGACAATCTATGAAACAAGTTTCAGAGTTAGGATATCTAGGCAGTATTAAAAAAATATATACACGATGGGCGATTTAACACAGAGATTTAAAAAAAAAAAAAGGTTTTAAAGCAAGAGGAACAAAAAACTGAGCTGGATTTTACTTCATAAGGCTTGGTCCCTCCCTGCCGAAGAATTGATGAGAAGAGTTATGCGACCTTCCTCAGTGAATATCAAACACAGCCTTGAGATGGGTTTATCTAAACTATGTTCTGTGATGTTCTGTTCTCAGTAAGAGTCCAGAAGCCTGGGAATGAGATTATAAAGAATTCACATATTTAAAAAGTCCTGCATCACTGCATGTAGGAAGAGGCACAGAAAGAGCAGATATCATCAAAGCCATATGGACTTGGCTGGTAGATAATGATGATTTTCTCATGCTAACATGGTTACATGACCTCAGAGTGAAGTCTGGTGCCATCTTCTAGGTCAAGATGGGAGACACTTTAACCAAATTCCCATGGAAACAGTCAGTAGAGATCTTGGGGTAGGTGCTGCATCAAAGGACTGAGCACCCCACAGGACTGCCAAATATGCCGTCATGTAGACTGAAGACAACAATTTAAAAAAGTAGACAAAGCCCCTAGTTTCATTCATTCATTGCCCTGGTGTGCCATTATGTCACATAGGGTTTACAGTATATTTCTTCATTCCATGTGCAATCACTTCAATATCATGGATGGAATCCAGTCCAGCAGCTTTGGCTTCTCTCATCAACGTTCACCTACTGGTTTCTCTTGGTTTCTCTGTACTTTTAGGAGTTTAAAGATCCCCCAAGGCATGAAACTTTAAGGCAGGAAAACTGGTGAAGGATAAAAACTCTTGCTGTGATGTTCTACAAAGGGTGTGCTGCATGACAGATGCCCCAAACTATAAAGGATTTAGCCACAGCAGAGTAATGGGGCATCTTGTTGAGTAGATACAATTCCGGACTCTCATTCAGAAATATTTGATAGCAATATTTTTGCTGCATGCCTGCAACATCAAAACTCTCTTGGCAGTCAGAAATTAGAAGAGCAGACCAAAAGAGCGTTGTCTAGGCAAAAAGTAAAAAAGTTGACTATAGAAAAAAGAAAGCATCTGTGATTCATGTACACAAACAATTTTATGCCTGCTGGTCTTCTGGCTATTTTGCACTGTGCAAGATTCTAAAGGAGGAGACTAATGCACTTATGAAGATATCTGAGTGCAATTAATAAACAAAACTCTAAACCTTACTTTTCTATGAAAGGTTAAATTGGTTCACCATGAAAACATGTTATTTAAATAAAAAATAAAAAAACGAATTAAAAAGATACATACGGCAAAAGCTTTGCTCCAATAGCCAACCCGTACCTTGTACATATAGCTTGTGGTAAAACTCTTGAAACAAAAAAAAATAATTATACCACTGTGGACTTTTGTGGTTTAATTAATCCAAGTCATAACAATAAACAACCCTATTCCTCTTCTTCTTGGCCTTTAAAAGGGCGGTTGGCATGTTGTAATGTGGTTTACAGCTAGGCTGTGATATCTGTGCCTTTTGGTCCAACACATCCAACTTCAGCTGATCAACCATTTCGACATATTTGTAAAGAAAAAAAAAAGGGGGGGGGGGCACCCAGAGCAGAGGACCCCCCCCCCCCCCCCCACGAAGTCCTGGAACACATACAGCGATATTTGTTTTTCTTTCCACAACCCTAGATTAAAAGTGTTTTTTACCCTCTGCTTTTTATCCTTCAGTGAAAGATTAGTCATCAACTAATTTATGCCGAGTCCATTTGCACTGGGTCCTGATTGCCTGGATTTTGCATCTAAAGTCTTCACAGAATGAGGCAGCCAGTCTCACGTTAATTCATATTTCACACAAAAAATTTGGTTGGGAGAAAACAAAATTATGTGCCATATCTAAGTCCGCTGCAGAAATCAAACTTTCCTACTCAATGATCATTCAATTGTCAAACACATTCACTAATCTCTAAACCAGAAAGCTGCGAATGGAGGATACACCCTCAACTAATTTATTCTAAGTTCTTTGCAGCTCAAGATTTAATGCGATGAGGTAGCCAATCTCACGCCAACCTTCCTTTGTCATTTCTCACAATATACATGAAAAAATGTCATGATATACATCACAATAATCAAACATCTTCACCTCACAATACACATAGTAGCTTTTTCTGACTATTCTTTGTGCTTCCCTTATAACTCCACATCTTTGTACAAATTTTGAGCCATCCAGGTAAGAAACACATAATTTATATCATTCGGTGATTTACTGTATCTGTGTTCTAAAAAGCTGAAATATGCTGTGTTTCTCAAATTTTTTAAAATGTTGAATTAAGAATCGACATCACAGTACTCAAGACAACCCCATTAGCGCTCTGTCCACATCTTCAGCAGCAAGCAAAGAGTTAAAATTATGATGGTACCAGTAACTGATTGTATATCCATCTCGCCTTTTCCCTGAGTGTTGAGCGTCGGCCACATCTCAGTGCCATTCTCCTCAAAACAGTAATGATCTATCTGTGCCTCGACACTGTTCACTCGCTCCCAAAGGGCCCTCACAACATCCAGCTTGTCATACATCAGTTCACCACCAAGTGGTGCAGAGCCGGCCAGTCTATCTGCCTGTTCATTTCTCAACACACCGGCATGACCTGAAGAAAATATCAAAAGGATGCTAACTACCCAGGACCTTTGAAGTGATGCTTGCCACTCTGCATGGAACATGCCTGTCTCCACCTTCCTCAACATGCTCTGTGAGTCAGTTACAATGACAGCATGAGTGTACAGCTGATTCTCAAGCTCAAATTTTCTTATAACCTGCAAAGAATACTTACTCTCCAAAAATGAAAACTGCTGTCACAGAGATGATGATAGCAAGGATTGGGTTAGAGATTCTATCCAAGAAAATCGGCATGGCTTCTACGGCAGCAGAATTTGAAAGCAGTAAAGTCACCAGCAGTAAGTGATGCTGCTTCACCACAGGTAGGATACGAGCAGCATACTTCCGCTCATTTGGAGTTCCCCCATCTTTCATGGTGATCAAAGTGGTTAAATCTAATGATAAGAGGCCAATGGTGAGACCAGACATCACACCTGAAAGGTAAAAAAAGAAGAAATAAAGTTATCAAATTATTGTGTGGGTTCAGGGTCTCCATTTTTAGAGGTAAAGAATAGACCCACTGACCCAATGAAAGTAGATGTGCTGGGCAGGAAGGTGCAGATTTAACAGCCTAGCTGTAAATCACATAACAAAATGCCAAATACCCTTTTGAGGGCAAAGGCAGAAGAAACAATTACCAATAACATACCTCTGACACCTTTAAAACTGGTCTAAAACACAATCAAGTTATAAATGTTGACCCGCCTTATGTTAGTTTCGGCAGTGGTATCAAGAGCTGACCATTCAGAAAGCAATGACAAACTAGCGAACATAAATTTGCCTAGAAAAACTGCAACAGTAAAAAAAAAACATGCTGGGATTCGTTCACCAACGTTGGTGAAGGACATGCAACTACTTGCTTAGTTGCTACTCTTCTACCTTGAGGTGTAGAGATTTGTCAGAGTGATCGCCAGACTTCTCTATTCGCAGTTTTCTTTCTGGCTTTGTCCCATTCGAGTCCTCTGTCAGTCAGGGACTGCTGGACATTGTCTTTCTAGCCAACACTGGGTTGTCCTGGTGGTCTGGCATTCCATGCCTGCCATGGTGGCCAATTCTCTCCCATTCTGCAAACATGTCCACACCATCTTAAAAGTGACTGATCCACTTGAGTTTGTAAGGCCTGGGTTTTACGATCGCTACATATTGTCTGATTGCGAACTTTGTCAGTTCTTGTCATTTGCATCACCTCTCTTAGAAGTCTCATTTCTGTGGCATGAAGCTGGCTTCTGTGAGCTGTTGTCATTGCCTACAACTCAAACCCATATGTCAGGACTTGCACATAGGTAGAGGTGTATACAGTCATTTTAGTCCCCTTGCTAATTTCTCTTTTGCTGAGACACTCTGAAATTTATCTGAGTTTATGGCCTGGATAAGTCTCTCAGCTGATGATTTTCGAGCAGCCAATGACTTGATTATTCATTCTGATCTATTTAACTCCAAGGTATTTGAACTGGTTAACCTGCATCTTGTCCCACCACAATTCTGACATTTCTTCTTCTCTCTTGGGATCACCATGGTTTTAATTTTGGAGACATCGATGTTCATCCTTCTCTTCTCAAGCTCTTCCCTTCAGACATATAAGTTGGATTGAAGATGTGTCTATGATTTAGTCATCAGGGCTACATCATCTGCAAATGCCAGCTCTGATATGCAGGTTGGTCTCATTTTCCAGTACCCTGATGAGTACTTCTTTGTCCTTTTTACACGTCTTGATGACATCATCCATAAGAAAGATGACATGCAACTAACATCGTATAAATGGTAATTAGGAGGAGGTATATAAACAATACACCAAACAGCAACAAAATAACATTACACATTGACTACAACAGTCTGCTCTTAATAAAAGACTTAAATCTTGTAGAAGAAATTCAGGTCCAGTCTGATTAGGGTGACAGTATAGTTTTTGGTAGACCCAGACCAGTCCCATCAATATTTCTAAAAAAAAAAATTAAAGCTGAGAATCTATAGGATGGTCTGTGCCAACCTAAAATAAAATTATGCTGTCTGTCAAAAACAGGACTTATGGTCACCCTAGCTCTGATCCAAAATGGATGTCGATGGCAGGGTCCTTTGTAACTGGAATGGGGAGGAGGGGGGGGGGGGGGGGAGAGGCTCCTCTCATTGTGACTTTCATGGTGGTGTGCCTGGTTTTTAGTACTTCCTGATATAAGCTCAACCTTAATCACTTTTATTTAGATTTAGATTAATGCTTGCCTACAGCTGTAAAGGTTGTGGGTTCAAATCCAAACGGAGCCAGACTTTTTTCGTTCAAAAAATGACCTTGACTCCCAGCTCAACCCAACCCTTTTTTTGGGTAGCAGCTTAGGTTCTGGGAAATAAAGGTAGCCGGCATGACGTTGACCACTTACCCCAAAGAAGTGGCAATCGATCCTTAAAATAAAAGTCTATGCCCAGTGTGCCTGAAGGCCTGGAAAAGTGGGCTCTACTGTCAAATTTGGCCGGTAAGCTGGACTGCTTCGGCCGGCTTAGCGGGAGTTATTTCCCTTGGCCAAACTCAAAACAACTCAAAACAAGCCGCGAAAAAAGTCACGAATTAAACGGCATACTTACCTATCATCATCCGGGTGCGTGTAGGGTTGCGTAGGGTGTCTATCATCGTCCTAGGGTTGCGTGTAGGGCTGCTTATTGCATGTAGGTTGGTTGTTTGCGTAAGATGAGGGGTAGGGTTAGGGGTTAGGGTTAGCGTTTAGGGGTTAGGGTTTAGGGTTAGGTTTAGGGTTAGGGTTAGGGTTTAGGGTTAGGGGTTAGGGTGTAGGGTTAGGGTTAGGGTTTAGGGTTAGGTGTAGCGTTAGATGTGACAATTGTGACGCCGTAGTTCCCTACAATCGCGCACAGTCGCATGCACGCGCAAACAGTTGACTGACGGTGGATGCTACTGACACGGACAATTCGCCACCGATTGGGGCACCAGCCGCTGCGCGCTATTGCCGTCATATTTGGCACACTTCCAGTGGCGCCACTCCCACAAGCATCAGATTGTCGGCCAGTATTTCAACCTCCTACATGAAAATTTTCACATCTAACCCTAACCCTACCCCCTAACCCACACCCCTAACCCTACCGCTAACCCAAACCCTACACGCAACCGTATGATGATGATGATAGACACCCTACGCATCCCTACACGCAACCATGTGATGATGATAGACACCCTACGCAGCCCTATGCGCAACCGTATAATGATAGGTAAACCTAGACGCAACCCTACGCAGCCCTACACGCACCCGGATGATGATAGGTAAGTATGTCATTTGATTCGTGACTTTTTCCGCGACTTGTTGTGAGTTTGGCGAAGGGACATAACTTCCATTAAGCCCCGCTAAGCCGGCTGAAGCAGTCCAGCTTACCGGCCAAATTTGACAGTAGAGCCGAAAAGTGTCTTTTACTATCTATATAAAACAAAAGGCAAAAGCAAGCATGTTTCAGTTCAAGTTGGATCAGCGCCTATAAAAGCAGCAGCAGTAACTGAAGAAAACAGACAACAAATACCCTGTACTAACGTTTGAGAAGTGAAGGTTTCTATTATTGTTATCAGATATGTGGTTTGTTATCAGTAAATTCTTCTAGCGCATCCGCCCCCAAAGGGGCGGTTGAGACGATGTGTTGTTGTAGTTTACTGTTTGGTTGTGATATCTTAGATTGGCGCCGTGCAGTCCAACACATCCGATTTCAGAAAATCTTTATTTAATCGCTTTTTTACTACATGCTTGTATAAAAGCAGTGGGTCTATTTCCACCTCCCCTAATGGGACCCGGAACCCACACAGGAAATCTGGCAAACAACAGCCGCCTGCAGGTTCTCGACGTTACCTGCAAAACTGGTCAGTGCTATATAAACACCGATGTAAACCCAAAATTTTGCATCCTTGAAGGTGAGAACTGTTTCGGGCAGACTATATTCTGTGCCATTACAAATGATGACATGATCAGAAATCAGGGAGCAGCTGATCAACATCAGTTCTTCCATCCAACAACAATATAGTGTATTGCAGTCAGCTGCAGACGACGTCTTTTTATGAAGAGTGTTGTCCCTTTAAAAGGCGGATAAGTTTACCATCATCATCATTATATGCTGTATCAAATGTCACGGGAGGGCTATTCTGCTAAGTTTACTCAGTGGCCAAAATTATGAAAATGGGATCGTCAGGGGCGCCAGCCCAGGCGCTGAAAGATCATTAATACAATACAAGTTGCAATGATCCGCGAGCCACCTGCTAGGCCTCGTGGGCCACATTTATCCGCTGACCGCCAGTTGAATGGCCAAGTCCGACTATATGTATAGGGGTCCTTGTGTTATCGTAGATTAAACGGCGTATATTATTTTCCATTTGGTGGTCCTCGGAACAAATTTAAGGGGCCCGCGATATCATTAACAAATACATACGCACAAATTAACTATAAAATGTAATCCTTTTTTGCAATTTTAATATTCACAAATTATAATAAAGCTAGCTGCGTATTCTTTAAAGAGCAGCGTTTCTCAACCTTTTTTACGCGTGGCCCACCAAAACGGGCAAAAATGTTTCGCGGCACATCTGACAACTAACCAGAAACATTAAAAAAAAAAACATGTGTAGATGGCATTTATTTGGGAAATCTGATGTCAAAGAATTACAATTTTTATCTAAAGTGACAGCTGCTGCTGCTTGGAGGTTAGAAAAGCAGCTTTACATGGTTGAGCGTTAATTATGATAGACAAAGCGCTGCAATAACATTCATTCTATTTCTATGTTTTGGGTTTTATTGCTCACATGGCTGTAGGAAGTTGGAAACACAGGAACAACAATTTGACAGCCCTATAATTCAGATCTGGATATCCTTTTTAGAGTGATACACCCAGACAGCGATTGCATTTTATGTCTGGGTACAAAACTAACACCAAAAAACTTCATTAGACTTTCTTTTTCATGATAATCAAGTGCGCTTGATATGATATCGCATTAAAAAAAGGATTATTAATCAAACGGTTGCTTTTACGAGAATCCTCTTTTTTCAGGAAATAATTATCAACGTTATAAGTTATGAGTTATGAATTAGGTTATCTTCACGGCACTCCGGAAGGTCTACAGGTGCTCAGCTTCCCCCTTTAGCATATCAGCATCTCACGGCTGAAAGTCCCAGTCATCTGTTGGTTGACAAGACTTCTCGTGCCTGGCTGTATCTTTACTCCCAATTCTTGTACTCTTAGCAAAGATGTGAATGTACAACTCCTAAAAATCCTCCGATAGTCATACCTCTCTTGAGGAGGCGCGTTAGCGCAATTGATACGAGGCTCGCTTTCAAATCCAGCTGCGACTCGCTGCAGCCACAGTCGGTGTTCGAAACTGGAGGCTCCTAGAGTTCACCCAGCCTCTAGGAAATGGGTACCAGAGTTAACACTCTGGGGTAAATGGAGGAAAGTCGCCGTAGCTACAGAGTTACATGCGGACGGCGACACAGGCGGACAGTTTCCTATCAGCTGTCCGTACTGGTGGCAGAGCACTTATGGTTTATAACCGTGTGCAATGACGCTGGTTCACATTTCCCGACTTTATCTTTACCTTTGTGACATTAACAATGTCTGCATAATCTATGGGCCGGCCCTCTGTAACTAAGGCAGAACCGGCTAATCTGTCGGCTCTTTCATTGCCAACAACACCCTAGGCGAAATTAAGGTATCATGCTCATGGAATCACTCAGCACACACACGTGAGAACAGCCCTGCGATGCTAGCCACATGAAAGCTTGTGTTAAAGCCATCACCTCCATTGTCATGTTGCTATTAGCCATAGAGATGGCACCACTGGCCTCCTGGACTGTTCTGCCCGCAGAGTACGCAATAAATGTCCATGTATTTTTTTGGTGTTTTCTCTCACAACGGACCCATCTGTGTAGATCAGTACATCCGCCTCATCTAAATTTTTACATATAAGCGCGTGGACCTCTGCTTTGACAGCAACTAGGTTCTGCTCCCGACAGGTCCTGTCAAGCCTGGCAACACAGGAAAAGGTGCATGCAGTTGAGCACCTGGGGCATAGGTATCCATTCTTCGCCGAGGTGATGTCTGTAAGACTGCAGACCTGTATGATATCGTCTTCTGCCCTACTGAGCCATGATTTGCCCCTTTTTAGCCTGTTACCTTTTTTTCTAAAGAGAACTTCACGCAGAGGATGCTTCAAATCCGAGCTTATCTTCAGATATGCACTAGCTCTCCAGATCTTCACCCTATAGTGCATTGTCGGAAAGCCAAGCAGATATCTCATTGCTACGCAAGAAATCTTTTGTGCACCCCAGAATAATGCGCTTGGCTTCATTTTGCAACTTTTCCAGTCTTTCAATCTGGGTATCACTGACGGTTGAGTTGAGTTGAGTCAAGAATTGACACCACAGCACTCGGGGCATTCACATGCGTACTTCGTCCTCATCTTCAGCAGCCAGCGTAGAGTTCCAATACTGATGGTACCGGTCACAATTTGGTTGTATGACCGTCTTGCCTTTCCTCTGAGTGTATTGAGCCAGCCAGACCCTCTGGCTACACCCAGGTGCCTCGTTATCTCCAGGCCATAAGAATCTTGTTTCTCTACTGATTCCGTCGCTTGTTCTCAAATGACCACATCTGCCTTGTCAAGTATCAATTCACTACCCAGTGGTGCAGATCCAGCCAATCTGTCTGCCTGTTTATTACCCACTACGCGGGCTGACGGTAAGTATGGCTAAAGCATTTTTGTCTGGAGAAATTACCAGTCCCTTGAACAATAGCAGAAGCAGTCTCTGCTCGACGTTGCCAGTGGCTAGGAACCTCAATGCTGATAATCCTTTACGGGCTTTTTTTATAACATGGTCGACGTGGTCTTTGAAGGACAGACTGCGATCAAACTTTACACCCAGATGTGTCATCGGGTGTGTTAAAACGGTCAGCTCACGACACCACAAGTTGAAACCCGAACAAGGCATTCTGCGACTAAATCGTCCAGTGAGATGAACAGCTCCTAGTAATACGCTTGCAACACCTAAGCCACGAACGGCAACATTTAGTGATGTAGGAGCCATTCTATTGCACACTGCTCACCCCATGTCCTCGACCTCTCTGTTTAGTTCCCTTCTCCATGTTTTTGTCTGCCTTTATCTCTTTGGGTTCCAAAGTAAAGGCACGCTAGTTATATTGTTCTCCGGCGTTCTCAACATATTTCCTTTCTAAGGCCATTTTTTCCTCACCTCTTGATTAACTAACTGACTTGGTGGTGAATTGATGTATGACTAACTAGATGTTGTGAGGGTCCTGTGGGAGCGAGTCAACAGAGCAGAGGCACTAATAGATAATTACGGTTTGAGGAGAATGGCGCTGCGAGGAGTTATCAGGGGCTCTGTTCGACACCAAGGGAAAGGCGAGACGGATGTACAATCAGTTACCGGTACCATCGAAACTGAAACTCTTCGCTTGCGGCTGAAGATGGGAAAGGAGCTCTTATGGCAGCGCCCAAGTGCCGTGATGTCAATTCTTAATTCAACATCTTGTTTGACTGGAATTTCTCATTACTCCAAACGAAATGGCGTACTCCAGTTTTCCCCTTCTCACGATGTAACCAAAGAATGAATGCCATTGTTTTCGAATGCGGGTAATCATTTCTTTTCGTTAATTAACTTATTTCAAGACAATTCTATTTCACTTTGTATCTTTCCATAATTTGTCTCCAAACAACATCCATTATGCTACCGCATATATTTCAAGTTGAAAAAAAAAAAAAAAACCTTGCTGATCTGATCATTCACGCTCCATGTCCATAATGAAGGTTTTTAAAATACGTTATATCTATCACCTTGAATGTACCATCTCTCAGACTGCTCTTCGTCCACCTCTTGCTACTATCTTCCAACTTGTTTCCTGATCGCCTCTTGCTTTGAATTGTCTCCTCCAGTATGTTTTTTTTAAAGCCTGCTATGTTTTTCTATATGGTTATATTTAACTTATCGCTTGTTTATTTCCTTCGAAAATTCTCTTTTCATTACTAGCCTCTTCAAAACTTCTGTATTTCACCCCCCCCCCTCTCCCACACACACGAAATACAACATATTATGTTGTAAATCAACATTTCCAGAGATCCAATACTATTTTATTACTGCTTAAACACTGTCCAGGTCTCTGCATGACTGAGTATGTATAACATTTGACAATTATTATTTTAAATGTTCCTTATCTCTCTAGAGATCAGCGGTTCTCAACCTGTGGATCGCAACAGTTTTTTGGGGGTCGAACGACCCTTTCACAGGGGTAGCCAAAGACCATCGCAAAACAAATATTCACTGAAGTTATGGTAAAGCAACAAAAATAATTGTATGGTTGAGGGTCGCCACAACATGAAGAACTGTATTAAAGGGTCACTGTATTAGGAAGGTTAAGAACCACTGCTATAGATGTTCATAGTTTGTGCATGCTCTTGAAAATATTTTTGGCTTTTCCAGTTCTCTTTTTGACTTCTATTTCCCGTCTTCCATCACCGTTTATTACATGTCCAAGAACTTGCTGATGACACGTACAAATATGTCAGTCAATTGTGAGGGCTGCTGGGCTACAGTGACACAACATTGTCATGTTTATAAGTCACGAGACACAAACAGAGCACATTGACTTTGTACAAATGTTGTACCTTGTGTTTTGGCTATAGACTTCTCCTCCACATTGCCTATTTACTTGTTAGCGTGTGAAGAATTTTCTACTCTATGAAGTCATCATCATGTAGCAGGTCCTTTGCAGAACGTCGAACCCTATGAAGTGGTGTAAGAAAATACACAGATGGACAGATATAAAGAAAGACAGACAGATGTATCGATGAATGGATACACAGATAAAGGCAAAGAAAAGAGGAGTATGTGGGGAAGAGACAGAAGAGGTAAAATTTTAACAATAATAAATGTTACCTAATGTAGTAACGGGAGTGGCAGGGTTGTTAATAAGGGTGAAAGGTGGGGAAGCTACAGAATAAAGTAAAG